TCTTAAAGTATATAGTCAGCTACCACTCTGTCCGGGGGCGTTGTTAAATGCAGACTTCCTGCTCTATGTCAGGCATACAGAATTAAGAATCTCTGTGATGGAGTCCCTTCCCACCTGGTACCCAACATTCTAGGCCTCTGCACTATCCAAGTAGCCATATACCCATTGTGTTTGCCTTTACATGCCCAGTACCCAGCACAGAGAATGCCTGGCTCTGTGTATGTGTGCATGTGTGTGTGTGTGTGTGTGTGTGCGCGCGCGCGCACATATATGTGTATATGAATTCATTCATTGAAAAACTAATTTTCTCTGTATTTTCTGTCATCAAAGGAAAGTGTCTGTCTCCCAACCTATATGGATTTAATTTATGGGGCAAGAGAACTATCTTGAAAATTAATTTTTCCAAGAGTACTTGTTACTGAACTGAAATAATTTCCTGTGGAATTTCATACTCTCAGATGAGCCTGTGAAGGATGCAGTGGCTCAGGCTTTCCCATTAACTACATTTACAGCCAACAGAACAGAGAGGTTTGGCCTCCCCCTGATAAGCAGCTCCTTCTTTGGGGACAGGATCACTTTGGCAAATAGGACCCCTGACCTGTTTCAAAGCTCTGTGTCTTTGTACATACAAAAATGCATACGAAAACTCTAGGAAGCTGCTATTCTCCCCCTGCCCCCACAATTCCTCTGCTCCTCGATATATGTACCATAGTCCTGATATTATTCTGTGACCTTTAAAAAGGCAAGATTTTATCAGTACTGAAGGCTGCTTCATTAGCATGGAAGCTTTAGCACCTCAGACTCACTTGTTCTGACTCCAACATCTGGGTCCTGTTAGGCTCTGGGTGGTCAGTCCCTTTCCCAGAATATTTCCATTATTTCTCAAGGAAACAGTGATGAAAAAACACATGGACATTTAGACTCAACTCCTTACACACACAAGTGCTTTGCCTCCACAGCCCCTGAACACGAGGGTGAAGGGTCCACAGATGGTCTTGAAAGTGGTACTTAGGACTTGCTCCATGCCTGTTTGACAGGCACAAATCTCCTCGCCAAGTTTCTTAAAGTATATAGTCAGCTACCACTCTGTCCGGGGGCGTTGTTAAATGCAGACTTCCTGCTCTATGTCAGGCATACAGAATTAAGAATCTCTGTGATGGAGCTGGAGACTCTGCAATACCAAGCTCTCCAGGTGATTCTCCTGCACACTGAATATTCAGAAGCATCCCTTGCTGATCCACAGATTGCTCCAGGGAGAATTGTTTTTAAGATGAAAGATAAGATTTAAAGGCTCTTCAAAGAGAAAAACAGGGAAAACTGAGGAGAGAAGGCTGAAAGACCAGAGGAGAAAAGAAAGGAGGGAAGAAGGGTTAAGAGTGGTGGAAAGGAAAAGAGAGATATAATCAGATCTTAGACTTTGGGGAGCACTAATCCTAGCAGTCCTGGGAGGCCCCCTCCTCTCCATTCCTTTCCAGCCCAGTCTGTAGTATTATGTAAGGAGAATGTGCTTTCAAGCAATTTCTTTTAAAACACAGCTGCTTGGCACCTGGAAACTGACCATTCAACTGTCTCAGTTGTTCTGACAGAGGTGACATTCTTGAGCGTCCATACCTGAGCTAAAACAGCAGAACTAATTCCTGAGTTTGAAACTTCTAGGAGTAATAAGCCAGAACCTAATGGATCCAGTGGTTGACCAAACCTTATTATCTACCTCTAAACCAGCTCAAGCATCCAGTTAGACAATGAGTGATTGATAGATAATACATCCAAATCAGAATCACCATTATAATTGCCTGCCTCCTTCTTCCCCCAGCCCAGTTGCACCATAGACAGAAGCACTTCCTCTCTCCTCATGTATTTCCATTCACACATGTGGTGCAGGGTGACAGCCTATTGATAGTTTCAAATTACATACTCACAGAATTAGAAAATACTATCACTGGCAGCAGGCACCCACCGAAATCCACTGTTATGCAGTCGGTCCGTTTACTTTCATCAGCACTCGTCCTAGTGATCTTTGTTGATCTTGCTTTGCAGTTGCTCATGGACAAGGAGCCCCAAGCCACAGCAACTGTGCAGAATTTTAGTTTAATGTGTTAAGAACAAAAATGTTGCTCTTTTGTTCTGCTTATTTAACCTTAGGAGGGGTTGAGATGTGCTCAGAGGCAGAGAGAAATAGAGCCATTGGTTTAACAACAACAACAAAAAAAATGCGGATCATCTGTAAGGTCCAAATTCCATTTAACTGAGGACATTTACATTTAATTGTGTGATGATCTAGAATAATATAGACCTGTGGGTTTTGATTGCTCCCTTTCAATGATGCCAGGAAAAAAAAACTGCTGCCTTGGTGAGTCACACATCTGAATGACACTCAGCACACCTGCACTATTATTAAGGATTAGCTTGCAGATGCTGCCATAGCCACTAGCCACAATTTCTAAGTGATTCTCTGGTGAAGGAGAACTAATTTATCTTTACCTTTTTGTGGTGGCTTGTTTTTTCTTTGTTTTCTTAATCCAGAAAAAATACAGTTATTACCATCAGGAAAAAAATGAAAATTCGGGGTTATTCTAAAAAACAAGCTTTGTATTCTGAATCACTACTAATGTGTCCTATTTAACAAAGCTGATGTAAGCATCCAAATAAAGTGCTTGTTATTTATAAATACTGTTCAATTAATTTCAAAATGTTTGTCAGACATTTAAGCATATTGTTTTTAGCTAGCTTGCTTAGAGATATGCAACTTCATTCTAACATTTAATCAGGCATCAAAAGCCAGAGGTAGGACAGAAACACCCAGAAAAGTCCTTCTACTAAGGACAATCACAAATGCTGGTATAATGTTGATTAACATCTGGATCACCTTAAGGGTGTTTGTGAACCAGAGGGAAATAAATTTCTGGAGAAAGCCATGGACCTGAGGGTGGCTGCATTAGTATTTAATAATAAATGATTTCTGGTTGATAGAAAAATATTGAAATGTGATATATATATGAGGCTGATTCAAATTTGATAAATATGTCCCCAAAGGAAATTACTGGCTTTATTAAAAGCCTAGGAGGGCTGAGCAGAATTGTGATAATTTTATCCTATAGTCCTTGCTGAAGGTGGAGTAATGCTCCCCAGCCCACCTTCCAGCCAGCCAAAGAGGAAGGTCCATAATAAGAAAGAACAGAGCTGTTCTTAGTCTGTTAAAGGTGGCTGTGAACTGCCGAGATACCATGGGCAAGCTGTCGTCGAGGAAGTAAGTGTCACTGCCTTGCTGGTAAAATGTGATGTGTTGATGATTGTTATATTACATCTAAAATCCCATTTACTTGTAATAGAAAAGTTGAGTTAAGAGTTTTGCCTTATGTTTCCTGGTGCTTGACACAGCGTTGTGTGATATTACCAATTTTCGCTTCAGGCGTATTCACATGCAACAGTAAAGACTTCACAAGAATTTGCACATTTGATCCAGGGTGAAATTACACCATTTAATAGCAAATCAGCTCTTCCTTGGCAGCAAAATGATAGGTACTTTTGCACCTAAAGAAGTGCCTTCATTTTCAAGGAACGTTGAACACAAAAAGTGTCTATGGGGATTGTGATCCAGTCATTCTGAGAGGCCCTGCAGGTAAGAATCCTGTTGGCCCACGTTCTGACCTGGAACATGTTCCTTAACCTTTCTCTCTTTGACTTTTTTGTTAAAACATAGAAAAAATAAAAGGAAAATGGAAGTCACATGCAACCTTTTTCTCCTATGTGTCACAAAGCTGTTCTGGAATGTCTTCACATCTCTAATATTGTACAACACATAGAGAAAATATCTGCAAAAGGGCAAATTTCTGTGGATGTAACATGTGAAATCTCACTTGAAGATGCCCTGCTTTTAGTGGTGTTGGAGGCAGCAGAAATGTATTCATGCAGCCCTACTGATCTGCAGACGGGAGTAAATACCAGACCTTTTGAAATGATTACCTAGAGCCCCCTTCAGTAGAAATGATCTACTGCATCGCATTACAGTGGTGAATTGAGGTGTGAGCCCAGCTAAGCCATTCTGTACACACCTAGCCAGGTTGCAATTTATATTCAGACAGACCTTTGAGTGGCCGGCTCTCAGAGCAAGAGAGAGAGGAAGAGAGTTTCTCTGGAAAATCTCCACCAGGACCAAAACCAAACTCTGTATGTCTTTTTTAAAAAAAGATTCTTTCTTCATCACAGGAAGAAATGAAGAGGTAAGTTCTTTCCCCCTGTAAAATGGATACTTAAAATTGCTAAGGATCTCACTGATCCCTTTAATAAAAATCCTTATATGGCTTTTCTTTCAAATAGTGCATATATCTTTTCCATAAGTTTTTGTATTGAGGACACAGACCATGACATTTGGTTCCTCCATCTTCACTCTTGTGAACGACAGACACCCGGCTGTGCCCCGGGAGCTGGGCACTGTTACTACAGGCCAGACTGAAGGGAAATCGGAGGAGGAAAATATTAATCCTGCGGTGTTTGGTATCCATTAGCCCCTTCATTTTCATTCAGTAAATGTAGTAAATGTAGGATTTGAACATGGAGGTTTGGAAAATACAGTGGCTGAGCCAGAAAAAAATCAGTTTGGGTCAAATTTAGTGTTAGGTGGTCAGAGTCTATTTTATTATCAAATTATATATATATATATAATAATTATAGTATATATATATAAATAGTGGGGTCACCCCACTAAATTATTTTTCAATAATAACTAGTTTTTTTTTTTCCTGGAAGAAAATACTCCTAAGATAGTACCTTACTGGCCTTGCTTTGTCTGGTTTTGTTGCCTTTCCAAGAACAGATTTGAGGCATCAAGTGCCACTCTATGTACAATACAGATGGTAATAACTTTAAAAGAGACAGAAAAAAAATTAAAAGGATGAATAATCATATCAAAGCAAGCACATGAGTATGTACACACAGGTTATCCAAGGGAAATACAGCACAAAATATGATGATTCTGATGGGAATTACTTGTACAGATGTACCAGAAATTACAGCTTTGCAGAGGGGGACACCACGAGGTCTGTAGCTTGAGGACCCTGCTGTCTTCGGATTCTGGCATAATTTGCTCTGATCTCCACCAGTTGCTTTAACTCTGTTTAAAAGAATTATTTTAAAAGGCAAGTCAATGTATTTATAGAAAATAATTAAAAGCCCAGGATGATAAAAAACTAGCAGATTCCTCAGAAATCCTTGACTCCCTTGTTAGACTCTTTCATTACACACTTGACTTGCTTATCGCATCAGATTTGTGTTAACATTCTTCGGATTTCTGCAGAATGGCAGTTTCTAGAGAGGGCATCCTTCCAGGCTTTCTATGAAGTTAACCTGGGAGTGGTCTTTACCACTGAAAAGATGGTAAACACAGCAGCAGAACAGTATATATATACTAGTAGCATTTCTCTCTTCTTTTTTAAAGTATCCTAAATATATAGATTTATTTTGAATGATTATTTCTAAGTTAATTACTTCTTAAACAATAAAATGACAACTTACATAATAAATTAAGTTTCTAAGAACAGCTAAATTAGACTCTTTGCTCTCAGTCAGATTTCTTAAAACATATACCACCCACTGAAAAGAATTTAGGCAATTGGGAAAAACACTAATCCTTTCACCTTGAAGATGACATGGGGACCTGCTTTCAAAGCAAAAGAATCAGCTTTCCAATCATAGCAATTCATGTGGTTACAGAATTAAAGATGCAAAAATGATTGTTTGCCTACCCAGTGTTGTCAAAGGTCCATAGACCTAACATGGAGGAAAATAGTAGGAAGAGCAACATTTGCACTTCCAAGTTTCTTTCTTCCCTTCACAGTTTTTATTGGAAACAAGCTTGCTTCCAGGGTGGCAGCCTACATTTCTTTCTGCAGTTTGGACACCTCTTTGGCAAGGCTGACTAAAGCATATTTAGCCTTAATTATCAGAAAGGCCCAAGGAACCAGTGGGGCCAGGAGTGGGAGATCCAGGCAATAGAAGGCCATCCTAAGAGTGCGAATGATTAAGCATAAATAATTAAGGTACTGGGAAAGTGCTTCCTACTGCACCACTTGTTTGCTTAGTGTTCAGTTATGCTGTAATATCTCAACTGTGTTCATATGCTTAATTAGATTGAGAACCCTTTCAGTGGAGGAACCTTGGTTTCTATTTCTTTTATATACAATGCACTTTGGGAACACAGAAATCTATCAACTAATATTCACTGATGATAAAAACCCCACTATTGGTGTATTCTTCTAAGTTACCACAGAGTAAGGATCACCAAGAGCTGGGGTGAGGGGTAATGCTGAGTGATGGGAAGAACAGAACACAAAGAATATGAAGACTGGATTCTGTTTCTCAGCGTACAATGGTGCTGGAGGAATACCGGTGGCATCCTTCAGAACGATGCTAGGCATCCCAATATATCCTTGTCCTCCTACTTTTTAGCTTTCACTCCTATAATTTTGCCCCTTCTAGGTTACATGTAAAATTATTGCAACTGTTTTAAAAGTTTTTGGATACATACCTTATATATAACATAGTAATAATAATTTTATGGTGACTTTTAAAAGAAATATTCTAGCATTTAGCTATTTTAGGGAGCCCAAGTAAATCAATTTCTAATCTTTTAATTTCACTTAAAGTGATATCAAGGTTCTTCAGATTTCCTGAAAATTATGTCTTTGCTAATCTATACCTCTTCCCAGAAAGAGGCTTTAAATTCCTCAGGATAAATAGGATAAAGGACAAGATTTGGCTTAATAACAAACCTATGTTATTTTCCATTCCTATCAGTTATCATAGAAAATTATCAAAGAATAGACAAGATAATTAAATGAGTGTATATTTATTTATTATTAAAAAAAAGAAATCTGCAAACTGAATAGTTGCTATTAGTAAAACACCAAGTTTTAAATAACTTGAAAGGTAGGAAGTCAATGGAAGCCCATTTTCCTCAGGGTTCATGCCAAGGGAATATCTCCTAATAAGGTCCTTAAGAATTTCTGCAAGTAAGCCAGTGAATTAGGTTCAGGACTAACAGATTAAATTCCTTAGAGCAAACAGTGTCACCAGTGAGGTTCCAGCACGTGAGTATATGAATATAACTTTAGTAATCTGGAGTAGAAAAGTGTGGAGGAGGACAATTATTAAAATCATCGTGATGGGAAATACAACTCCATAAGTAAGCTCTTTAAAGAAAAGACTGGATGCTTTCATTCTTCAAAAATTTGGTGGAAAACAAATTGCCACCCATACCTTTTTGGGTTACAAAGCCATGTCCTGAGGACACACAGAGGGCCATGTCTCGCTCTACGTCGTCCCATGAGTGAACTGGCTCTCCATCGGGGGTGTACAGTGCCCTGGCAGGGCGGGCCATTTTGAGACGAGAGGAGCAGTCATCCAGGAGCTGAAACGCAGAGGAACTCACGTATTGAGACGTGGAATGTCACAAAATAAGTATTACAGCATCAACTCCTTTAAAAAACTATTATCCCATTTTGAATATTTACCTTACCTACAGTTGTTATAAAGAGATATAGAAGGAGATGGGAAGGAAGGGCATACAAAAATTCCCTGACATACTTCACAATGAGGAATTTCAGTGCTCGGCCGTGGATTTTCCCTTGTAGTTCGTTCTTTTCCCATGTGGAAGAAGGCTTCTTGCTGTTTGAGAAATGCCTAAATAGGAAAGACCCTGGCTTGAGAACCTAGACTTGTCAAAGTAACTCAACTTTTTTTTTCAACAAGTGAAGAACTAGAAGGAGAAAAGGAGCCTTGGGCTGGGGATTGAGTCTCCCCTTCCCCGTCAAAGAGTCCCTTCAACTACAAAATCAGAGTTTTGCTCTGAGACCTCTCTGACTCTCTGATTCTATGGTTAGAAAATCTTTTTATCTTTTCAACTTGGTAAATTTAAAAACTATCTGGGGGGGCCTTACTCAATTTCCCTTGAAATATTCATAAAAAGACATGTAAGGATGCAAACTGTCAACAGTACTAGGAAGGTTAGTCAACATGTTGCCAGAGCCCTAAAGACAGTCCCATTAAAATATGAATATGACTTTAAGACAAAATAATAAAAGTGATGGGGAGGAAAGTAAGAGGTTTCTGCACAGCTGCCTGTTTGGCTTTTCTGCCATTCAGGCCAAGCACCTTTTCCCCAAAAATGCAGGAGCCACGTCCAGGAGCCCCAAATCGCCATCAGTAGTTCTTTGTATAGATCTATTTAGGGGCTACAGCTCACAACAATGCAACCTGGCAAGAGGTAGAACTGGGCACGCATGTAATGACATCTTGTATCTGGAAAATGAATCAGCAATATGAAGCAAGACAAGAGAGTAAGGAGACAATGTAATTCAGAGAGTAAAGTTTTCAACCACTATTTTGAGCAAAGGATGAGTGAAGTGAATTGAATAATAATTGAAATTATCCAAGAATACATTCCTTTCTGTACAGCGGGATAGTCAGAGAAGTGTAGTTGGAGAATGGTCTTGAATGCAGTCCTACCCCACCTGCTGAATAACAGCCAGTCAGCCACAGTTTAACTAAATACTGACTTAAGCCCACAGACTTAAGATAGAAAGGAGGATTCTGACAGCTCCCAACTCAAAATTTTGGGGAACCAAGTAGAATTAACCTATCCTGTCTTCTGTCAAGAAATCTCTCCTTGTACAGGGAGGTATGAATAGAAAAATAAACTACAGCAACAATATGAGTTTTGTGAAAATATTCTACAACATAAAAAGGAGTACACTGTACTCAAGGTGAAGACTTAGAAAAAGATTTATAGCAGGAAAACATTTTAGAGAGTATCTGTATTGTGTTTCCCCCAAATTCAATAAAATATGACTTCCATAAACACACCCACACAGAGAACTGAGATGACAGCAGCTTAAAGGAAAAAGGAGCATCACTGAGATGCGGGCAGGGATGGTACGGTGACGATGGCGACAATAATGACGGTGACAATAATAGTGGTTAAAATGTATTCACAAATTTCTATGGGCTTGGAACTTTCCTAAAAGTCTCCAAGGACAATCAAATTTGATTATATTAAATAACGATTATCCTCCTTTTGTTGATGAGAAAAATAGAGAAGAGGGAGGTTAAATATCATAGCCAAGGCCATACAGCTAGTAAGAGAAGCAACAGATTTCATACTGGAATGAAGAGAAAGATGAAATGAGAACAGGAGAAAAGTCAGGAAATTCTGTAACAGTAGAAGTAAACCTGTCTTAGAAGCAGAAAAAAGCAGACTCAGAATTGTAGAAAATCAAATTAAGGAAGACTACACTGAGGAAGTCTCATAGGATAGAGAAAGGGTAAGATACAAAACCGATGAGAGAAGAGTTAAACTTCTAGAATGTCACGACATCGATAGTAAACTATACATTATTGGTGTTCCTGGAGAAGAATCTGGAATAAATTAAACCTAAGCTATTAACAAGAAATAGAAGAAAACTTTGCTATCCCAAAGACCCATGTCTTCAGATCAAACAGGTTAATCCAAGGTAAAGCAAAGTTAATTAAAAAATGACTAATACTTAAATATACCTAGGTGAAAAGTATGACCTTTGACACAGGGGAAAAATTCAGTTATGTTTAGACTTGTTTTCTGCAACAATGAATGCCAAAGAAAATGGAGCAAAATCTATGAAATTTTTAGAGGAAAGGGTTTTAACATAAAAGTTTGATATCCAGCTAAATTATTACTTTTGGTGATAAGAAACAAAAGATATCCCCATGAATACAAAAACTCAGAAAACATATCACATACATTTTAGATTATTAAGAAATGAAAGAAATTTCTTCACTATGGGAAAGTCATAATATAAAATTACTAATATTAAATAGACCACTAGATCTTATACAACTGCTACAAAAATGGTCATAAAATAAATGAATTGAAAATCTTAAAATAAGTCTTTATACAGAAAAAAATAAAGTAGAAATGTAAAGCATCAACAAAAAGGGACATAGGCAAGGAAAAGAAAAACCAGAGCATTCCAAGTTTCTAGCTATGTGAGGGAGCAGAAGATGCTGTTTACTCTTTTTTCCTTTGTTAAGAATATTTATTTTTACAATTATAACCAATGCAATAATACTTAAAATCAGAATAAAAGAAATAGTTCATCTAAAGGAATAGGCAAGATCATCATCTTGTGAACTGAATATGATTTCAATCTTAGAAAATTTATGTGAATCAAATGAGAAATTAATTACAAAAAGAATGCTCAATAAAGTGGCCAAGCACACAATAAATTATAAAACATCAATAGTTCTTTTGTTTGTCAAAAATAGGCATTTAGAAAATACAGTTAATGGCAGTGGTCCATCCCAACAGCAAAATCCACTAGGAACAACAATTATTTTAAAATGTGAGACTCTTATAAAAAATTATAAACTTTTCTTGAAGGACAAAAAAATTGACTTATATGTCTATTGAGCAATGTCACAGAATTTAACTTGGATGCAAAGATTTAATATTGCAAAAGGTGTTGATTCTTATGAAATTAATTAATAGCTTAGTATAACTTAGTCAAAACCCCTGCAGTATGATTTTAGGGTATTGAAATTTAATTCCAAAATTCATCAATAAAAGCCAACAGGCAAGGATATTCAAGTAAAATTGGAAACAATGCTCAACAGCAGGCAACTTCTACCAGGTATTAAAATATGTTATAAAACTATAATAATTCTCAAAGTACTGGATACATGAGACAGCTTAAAAGCAGACACTAATAAGAATTTAGTGCATTATGTAGTTTGTATTCCAACTCAATGAGGAGAACAAAAGAAGATTAATAAGTAGGATTGAGAAAATTTTAAGCCAAAAAATAAAGCAGAAAAATTAGTTTCACTCAAATTTTAGGCCAGCAGTTTCACACAGTTTAAAAAGTAAAAGGGAAAAATGCAATTATAAAAAATGTGAAGAAAAATCGGATGAATCTTTATGTGACCCTATCAGAACATTAAAAGCCAAGAACAAACTTTTTAAATATGTTAATTTCTGTACACTAGAAAATCCCATGGACATAAAGGTAAACTGGAAATGTGTTACAATAAATCTGAAAGGTCACATGTAGAGACTTACTGCTTTAAAAGAAAATTCATATCAATGTGAAAAATAGTTCCAATAGAAAAATAGGAAAGGATTTAATAGGGAATTCACAGATGACTAGCAAATAGTAAAACAAAACAAAACAAAGCAAAACAAAATCACTTTTACAAGTAATTTAAGACATAAATTAAAATAAGGATATAATATTCTCTCCTGTCAAACTTGCAAATACATGTTTCTAAGTGACTGCACTTAGCATTGTTGATACCTTATATATACAACAAGTAGGTGGGTGCTCTCAGTCACTTCTTGTGGGAGGATAAACTCCTAAAATACTCCTAGAAAATAATTTGGCAATAGCTATCAAAATTCTCAAACATGTTTACATAATTTAGCCTACCAATCCTTCCAAAAATTTGTTTGGGGGAAATAACCAGAAAATTAAATAAAGATTTACGTATAAATATGTTCACTGGAGCATGCTTTATGATACAGTTTTTCAAATGTACTTAAATTTACTAAAGTATGTTCTTTAAAATGGGAAAGAATAACTTTTGTTTGTCAAACAAAACACTTAAATGTTTGTGGTTTTTACAATAACAAAATCTCATAATAAAGGAACAATGTTCTATGTGTAATTCCTTACCTACAATCTATTTTACTAAAGGTGGGACACAAGGGCATCAAGGAAGTATTGCATATATTCCTTGGGGACATAAGGTACTTAGGCCTCTACAAATCAAAGGGCCCTGTTTCTCACTCTTTTAACTTCCGCTCTTGCATTCAGAACTGCACTTGGCTGAGAAAGAACATGCTGGTTTTGAGAATCTGCAGAATGAGAGAGATGTTGCATGGACGGGAGAAGAGAAGCACTTCAGGAACATAGAAGGAGGGGCCTGGGCAATCATAAATCAGAGAAAAATGCTGGCCATGAAGAAAGAGCCACTAGCCCTGGAGAGGGAGCTGATGACAGATGAGCCTTCAGTTGGAGATGAGAGCTTCTCTGGCAATGTTCAAAGAGTGGGTAGAGAGAATGTGGTTAAATCATCCAAGATAGCCACAGCAGGGAAAGAAATTGAGATAAAGTCTGCATTAGATGGGATTGAAATACTACTTGGGGGTTTCATTACAGAAAATTGAGTGGAGCATTTGAAATGTGCTCTGTTCTTCATTCTTCTGGTGAGAGTAGCCACCACAGCAGCTCTGAGCTGCTTTGCAATTGGTGTCATTAGCCAGATTCCTTCAGTGACATCTAAACCCTACTCCTCCTGTTGTTGTTTGCTTCATATACACAGTTGATGCTCCAGAAGTATTATTTACAGTCAGATAGTCTGAAGAAATACATTTCTAACTGAACACAAATAATGTCATGCAGGTCCCTAACAACAAAAACAGACAGCATGGAAAAGAAAGGAAAGAGATTAGAAAGCACTTTTTTTTTTTTAAATAAAGCACAGGAAGAAAAATAATACAGAAAACGTAGACATTTCCTAAGTATCCTTCTACACACTGAGGCCACATTAATCTCCCTAAAACATTACTTTTACCATGCTATTACCTTATTCAGAGACAACTAGTGGCTCAAGCACTTTAGTCTGGGATAGTATAAAGCACCGAATTGCGTCCTCCCCAAAACTCTCTACCCCACAATATGACTGTCTTTGGAGAAAAAGGCTTTAAGGGGGTGATTAAGGTTAAATGAGGTTTAATAGTGGGACACTAATCTGACAAGACTGAGACTCTCTCTCTCTCCTCGTACATATGCACTATGAGGAAAGAATCTGGGAACACATAGTGGTAAGAAGGCAGATAACTCCAGGCCAGAGTGCCCTTATGAGAAACCAATCCGGCTAGCTCCTTTTTCTTGGACATTCCAGCCTCTAGAATTGTGAGAAATAAACTTCTGTTGTTTAAGCCATCCAGGCTGTGGTATTTCGTTATGGTAGCCCAAGCAGGCTAATGCAGATAGCATGTGGAGTCCACCCTGTGCATTCAAACAATCTCTCCAATTGTATGTATCTTCCCCTATTTCTCAATCCAAGCATCATCTACTCAGTATGATTTAAGAATTATACTACTTTGTGTGCTGTGCCCCTCCTTCTTGTTAATGCTTTTCTGCATGAGACATTGATCTTAAGCTCCACTTCTCAAGTTCCATCACAGGTCTGACTTACTCCTCTGCAGAGCCTTTCTCCTTCACCCCAGGTGGGAGAGCGCTCGCCTCCCCTGGACTCCTACCAACTTCCTGTCTGCATTACTACTTTGACCTTTGTCACATGCTTTAGTGCTCCACTAAGAGGAGTGTCAGCTCCCTTAGCAAATATATTTTTCTTACAAAAACAACAATCTGTGATCATCATAACAAAATATGGAACACATAGAAAAACACACAAGAAAGAAATACCACTTTTCTTAGGTCACCAATAATAACACTGAGTAAATTCTTCCAAAAATAAATCCTTCATCTATCTTTTTTTTAGGTGTGTACATGTATGTGAATAGAATCCAACTCCATATGCTTTATATTATGTTTCTTTTACTTAGTATATCTTGAACATTTTTATTGCCATTATTCTTCCTAAGTTGATTTTAATTGAGTTACAATATTCCATCCTATCTGCCATGATTCATTTAACTGACTCCTTATTAATGAGTGTTTAAATTATTTCTGGTCTATCTGTATTGTGTATAGCCCTTTGATAAATATTCTTGACAAACAATCTTTATATAAACTCATGAAAACATCCTTGGGATAAATTTCTAGAAGCACATTTTCTCATGATATGTACAGCCACATTGCCCTCCAAAAAGTTGTACTTCTATCAACATGAGAGTGCCCATTTGTCTATACACTCAAGTAAACCTCAGTATATTTTCAAATGTTTTGCCAATTTGAAATATTAATTTTATGGGAGCGCAGACCATGTGTTATTTTATTCCTCCTCCTCCTACCCCTACTATTGGTCTAACCTGTCAAGTATACTACATATTATAAAGTTTTCAGAATCTTTGCACATACATAAATAAGAATAATACAGTATCTAAAACAGAGCTCTTTATGTACAATGTTCATAAAATATTGTATGATCACAGAATATTTATGGAGTGCCTTTTATATGCTATATGAAGGTCCATAAATCGAAAAGCCATTCTTCCAAACGATATATGTAATTTTATATTTATATAAATGCGTAAATTATATATACATATATATTTGGTATATAACTATAAATTGTTATATAATTACATATATATATATATATATACATACATTGATAAAAAATATAAATTTGTTACATAAATATAACAAAAAAATTGTTTTTGCTGTCCTGAGTCTACAAGGCTATATTTCATCTTATTGTCCCTGCTCTACCCTTTAACTATTTATTAATCATTTCATATTCCCTCACTAATGTGTGAATTCTAGTTGCAATGGTTAAATGCATTTTAAGACTCAGCATCTACAATATGAACTCTGGAGATTTTCAATGAAAGCAGCAAGAAGGAAACATTTCAGCTTTGCTATAGAATCTTTTCTAGGATGTTCTCTACTGAAAAGGTTCTCACTCTCTTTTTAAAAATCACTTTTTTTTCCATGTGTATGTATTTATTTGTATTCTGAGTTTTGAATATATTTTCTGCATTTTTCTCTCTTCTTTCTCAAGTACAGAAAATTGGTTTCAACTTCTGAGATATGATTGTTTTCACAGTTCTTATTAAAAGTCCCTATCAAAGAGGAGTGGTCTCCATAATACTTTGAAATTACCAGCTTTCAAGGGCAGAAGTCCCCTAGGCTACTGCCGTCAGCCTCCCTGAACTCCTCTAGGCTAGCCTGTTGCACTATCTTTCCTTTCCCTCCACACCACACCAGCATTTCATCTTTATGCAAATTCTTGTCCCAGGAAAATTTATAAAAACATTTTGCAAAATAAAAAGCCAAACAACTATTTAAGATATCACTGCAACAGTTAAGACTTTTAAAACATCTACAAAAATTCATTTATTAGGTGCCTAAAGTTTTCACTTAAAGACTAAGATAAAATTTTAGAACTATATCCTTGATCTTGCAAATGGTATGTGTACTGCTATTCATCTTCTCCTTAGTCAGTGTTTTAACTTTGGAAAATGAAAAGTTTGCCACAGTTTCAGGACTCTCAGTAGTAAGAATATGATAGGTTTTCTCTAATTAATACTATTGTTTTTCCTACAGAGAACCTATGATAGGTTTTCTCTAATTAATACTATTGTTTTTCCTACAGAGAACCTATCTAGTAAATAATTCATGATTGGGAAAAAATAATTTGTGTGTGTGTGTGTGTGTGTGTGTGAAATGGATTTAAAATGGAACAGGACAACTATTTTGAATTATTTTAAAGTTTAGATTTTACTTTTTGACTGCTGTGGGTTTGTCATTGCTCTCTGCTGGCCAAGTGTCATATTATGACTCACATATGTCTGAAAGAATTGGCCTCCACATTTCCACACACATAAGCTCCTTGAACATCATATCAACACTGTGAGGAAAGTATCAGTGCCATTTTACAGATGACAAAATGAGGTTTAGAGACACAATATAATTTGTCTGACCTAACAATCTAGAAATGTCAGAGCCTATATAACACTCCCCTTTCACTCCAGATTTACCTCTAAAATAGTTTTGCCCCAGGCGTAAGCACCATCCTCAGGTCTGCCTCCATTTAGATAAATCCATACTCGTTTTGTGTTGGGTTGCTTATACAGGCTGCTCTGTGCAAGGGCTACATGTTTAGCTGTAATTGGGGAGTTTCTTGTGGATTGCAGTTCTTGGACTTCAGAAAGGTGTGCCTGTTAAGAAAAGCCCAGAGAATGTCATAATTAGAGAGTTATCTGTTTAGTGTGTGTCTGAAGAATGTGACAAAAGACAGAAATATCTTACAAGTACAAATTATACTGAAAATATTTTAGGAAGTGCATTAACCTCTCCTGTCACTGACTATTCTGTAAATTCCCCTTGCTTCAATGAATCTCTCAAGGCAATAATGATCATTAGAGTAATAATAGTAAGGCACTTATTTTGGCAAAGCACTTAACTCTCATTTATAACTTGGAGAAATGAATAGAGATGTGTTTTTGGATTTCTGCATGGTGTTTTCTCCTACTGAGTGATTTCTCTGCATCTTACAAATGAGTTTTTGATTAGGATCACAACATCATTTCCTTTAACCAAGAAATGCTTAAGGGAATGTGCGTGACTGTTGTTTAAGTCTTTACTCTCTGTCTTTTAAAATACAGCAGCAGCCCTTATACTTTGCCAGATCCCTGCCAGGCAGCTTTTCATCTTACTTCAAGCATGTCCTAGTTCAATGCTTTGCATTCATTCCCTGGTCAGTGATTTATCCTTCTTAGCTTGGCAAGAAGTCATATTTCTAGCAATGTCAATTTCTTTTTTGCAGTAACCTTGACTTGGGCACACGCTTAAGATTTAGACTGAACACATTTCATGATTTGAGAAGTCCTTTAAATAAGAACATATCATTCTGATGAAAAACTTCACAAAGCAAAAAGTTTTCCCACGTCTCTATCCCCAGTCCTCTCTCAACAGCTGACCTTTCTCTTCTCAATTTTTTTATGTCTCACAATCCTGACTGATTAACCAATTGGACTGAAACTGCTTTTTGAATTCCTCACTTCTGAATGTCTCCATTGCAATTAGTATTTTGCTCCTTGCTCTTTGTACATATTGAGACATACCCTTAGGAGTGATGAGCAATGAAGCCATAAGGCTCAACTTGACTACCCTTATTATAATTACCTTTGTACATATCCACTGGGCCTTTTTTCTCTTCTTTGCTAAGGTCATAATTTCTGGTCTCCATTCAAACAAAACAGACTTTCATATGAGCTGGCTGTCTTTTAGATAACTACTCTCTAAATGCCAACTCAATGCTTGGCATATGCTTATGTGGTCATAACTGACCAGATGCTGAGAATACATTAATAGCATAATTTTAAAATTCAATATTGTACTTTTTAAGTTTATTAAAGAAGCAGAGTCTTTAATGTCTGGAGTCCTGAAGAACATACCTCTGTATGTCTTATAAGTTTCATGAGTTTAATTTCCTCTTGAGTCTGCTCAGTCCAGCCTCCTTCCACCACCACCGGCTGTACAGGGCTTTTGTTTGGAACCATGGTGGCTGGCTGACATGCTGCTACTCGCCGCCCTGGGGAAAGAAGTCTCTGGAAATGTTGTTTCTGAAGATGGGCTTTCAGATTTCAAATAAATTGGTTTGGCTTTCTATGCATAAATCATTCCTCTTGGGAGCATGGCTAAAATACTAAATATATCTTAAAAGCAAAGGTGCCTAAGGTAATAGTATCTAACTATGCCTCTTCATGTGGGAACTAGAGGTTTTAAATAGCCAGGATATGCATACTCACTGTACAGACGGAAAAGAAAGATAACATGCTGGTGTCCACACTGGCCCCAGCCTCTCATCTACAATATGGTTCAGTGATAATTTAGTCAAATAGAATCCATGACCTATATAGCCCATCATCTCTTCCAGTCATGGAACATATGTTTTGTTCTCTTCACTAATAATAAGCCTTTCCCCAGCAATTAGCTCAGCAGCCTGGGGATTAAGTATTTCTAAAATAATATTAACTCAGGAGACAGGAGGGCTTTTTTTCTATCTAATAATACCCTGCAAGCACGATTAGTTTCTGACACTTCTGCTGTTACCTTTAGGTTGTTAAGAAACTGTGGTAAGAGAAAATACTTATTGGAATACTGTAGCCAAAGAATAATAGACATATTTAATAAGCATGGTGGTTTTAATTTATGCATTCTTTCAATCAGTCCACTTAAAATCATTATAAGAGTTGTTTAAAAGTCATAATTATAAAATCGCTTTCTTTTTCTGCATTGAAGATATATTCAGCACTGAGTCTCATACTGATCTCTAAACTTCTTAAGTAAAAATAATGCTTTCTCTCGTATGTTCCTTCCAAAAACCTATGTTGAACACCAGTATATGGATCAGGCATTGTTCTGGATAATGCAAATAAAAACATATTCAAGAGCAAGTCATTACCTCAGGTTTGGTGAGGAAGGCAGATGTCAAGGAAATGATTATACCAATAACTGATTGCAATTCTGCTGTACCAGAGAAGTATAGGGTCTATAACAGCATGTAACAGGGGTTATTGGCCTAATGTGGGGTATCAAAGAAGGCTTCTTTGGGAAAGTAACACTTTCCCAAAGTGTGGATAAAATAATAGAAATACTAAAATGAAGTGAAGTTCTAATTTTGTTGCCCAGAGACTCTTAATGTGCATATTTTCAGATCATGACTGTGAACAAACTCTGAAAATAATTCAGTACTTGCAGAGAATAAAACATTTGTATTTCTGTAGCTCAAGTTTGTGGAAATAGATCCAGCAGTAAAAATAAATGGCAGCAATGACTTTTCAGGGAAACTAGAACTGTATGCCCCTAATAAGCATTCTATGCAATTTATGGATATGGAGAAAATTCAATCGAATCAGTCAGCCAGTGAGTTACAGTGGCAATGCCATCACGTAAGATGCTTTGGAAAAGACACAGTGTACCAGAAAAATACATAACACAAATTTACGCTAAATAGAATTTTTAGCCAACTCTATTCATAAAATGCAGACATTAATTTATGACATATAAACTCATACGGATAATATTTCAATAAATATTTTATTTATAATGCATTTTGAACACTACAATTTTGCTCAGCTAAAGAGCTTGGCAATAGTTTATCATTTACACTGTGAAGAGCCAGGATTTGAATACAGGAAAGAGCAAAAACCATTATGCATTATTTGTTTTTGCCAACTTGCTTCTAATGGTCCTAAGGAAATGAATGTATTTGCACTATAATTTTCATAAAGAGACATAAATTCATCACAGAAGGTTTTGTTGGGGAAAGGTTTTCATGATGAACTATATTTATGTAGGTAAGAATACAAATTGAAACTAAGCAAAAATGTATTGATTATAATATTTTTTATTTTCTTATTACATTTTCCATATATCCTATTTTATTTCACAGGTGATCAGGGGAAAGTAATGATAATAGCTAACTATTACTGGGGAAAGCTAGAGGACATTAGCGCTTTGATGTTCTTTCAGTAAATCCCCACTGGACAGCTCCACCATATCTCTCCCTTACTGGGAGGTCCACTCTGGTTCAGCATCATTTGTGCCTGGGACAGTAAGTCCACCTCACTTGGGGTTTCACTGAGCACCTCAATTCAGCTCTCACACTAAATAAAATGCTCAAGTGTTGTCTTTAAGAGACAAAGGTGATGGTTTGGCCTGATTTGCCATTCCTTAGATATATTTATCAGTTTTTAAGATCCCCAACTAGGAAAATGGACTGCTTTCTCAAGAGCCCCTATACTAACATTTATTGAGTATTGCATGCTACTCATGTTGTAAATTTTTGACATTTGTTAATTAATCAAAAAGACTCTACAAAGTTATTACTAGTATTATGATTAACATTAGCAATGATCATGCTTACAACTGAAATGGGATATGAGTTTAGCACAGTATTTGTACATAGTATATACTTAATAAATATTTTTTGCATTTACCAATGACTTTAATAGTAGGAAATAATCAATCTAGCCACTATGCACACCTCCCATACCTCCTCTTTCATTCAGTCCTCAAGAAGCTCATAATTTAACAGGGACTGCAGTTAACTGAACTCAGACTTGTTCTTATTTATCCTCATAATCCCAACAACTGAAAAATGCCCTCCTTAGAATACGTATTTTGTAAGTATGTGTTGAATGTATATTTAATAGCAGAAAACAGAACAGCTTGTCAATAGAAACAAGATTTATCTTGGCACTAAACTAGGAGAAACTACATCAGTGGATCCCTCCATAATGGACAGCATCTGAGTGATTGACTATTTTCAACAGTGATATTGTAGATGATGTCAAATGAACTTTAAATGCCTTGTTAATATTTAATTATAATACAAGCTGAAGACATGATATAAAATCAGAATCCAGTAAAGGCAGCTCTGCTGGGTACTGTTTTCAGTATATTACTTTTCACTGATTTAATTTGATACAAGAATTGAGCTTAGAAAACTCGCTGGAGTGAAGGGCTGAAATTTCATTCATTCTTTAATTCAATCATTCTATGACTATTCAGAGAACTAATAAGAGGGGTATAGAATTTATAATGTAATATAGGAGAGGCAGTCATGTGATGAGGTCATTATAACAACATATAAGGACTATCATAGGGGAAGTTCAGGATGTGATAAACCACATTATCCCTGACTTGAATAAGGGAAGGCTTTGGAGAAGAAATAAAAAACTGACAAGTATATAATGAGCAGAAGCAATCCAAGGGGAGAAGAGAGAAAAGTCTGAGGAAGAGGAAACTGAATTGCATCAAAATTCAGAGTTCAGAAAGCATATGGTATGTCTGAGGAACTGAAAAGAAAATTTGAATGGGTGGACTGGGGTGGCCAAGGAAAGAGAGAACCTTACAGAGAACCAGATCATGAAGGACCACATTAAAAAGTTTCACCTTCGTCCTAAAGATAATAGGGAGCTTTGAAGGGTTTTATGCCTGGAGTACCATAACAACTTTGTATTTTTGCATGATCACTCCAGCTTCAGAATATCACCATGATGCATAGAATGGAGACTGCCATTCTATCATCATGGTGATATTCTGAATTAGGGGAATTAGAAAACTGTTCCAGTAATCCAAGGAATAGATGACAATAGCTTGAACTTGGACAACAAAGGTGGCTGTTAAGATAGAATTCATTTGAGACAAACTTAGTAGATTGGCAACAAGAAGACTTATTGATATTTGCTTGGAAAAAAGTAAGAGAGGAAGATGCCAAGATAACTCCCAGGTTTCTCAGATGGAGCACCTGGGTGGATGGTGGTAGGGTCCACCGCTAGAAGAAATGAAGGAGACTTTGGTGTGGGTGATAGCTAAAGATAGCAACTAAAGTTTTAGACATACCCATAGTACATTCAAGTGAAAATGTCTAGTAGTTGTAGTAGTAGAAGCTAGAAATTGTGCTAGATGCTTTCTACTTATACCCAAGAACTGGTTAATTGCCTCTTCAACCAGAGTTCTGTCTAGTGCACTTAGGACTAGTTGTATTGCTTATTGAAGTAAGATTCCCATGCTTTTGACAACACAGTACACATACTCAGGAGCTGAAATCCTGCTATGCCAATTACAGAGCCTGAAATGTATTCCTTTCCAAACTAAAGTCCATAATACATGTTTCTCCCCAAAGAATCACTTGGGATCTCAGGTGCTAGGAATAATATAAGGCCCAGAACCTAAGATTCTACCACAAAGAGAATGGAAGAGGAAGACAAATACTATCAACTGGTCACTTTGACTATGAATAGCATATCTTATGCGGCATAACAAGGACACTTTCTGAGATACTGACACTGACTTTTGAAGAACTTAGTACTTCTTGACTCAGATTATTAAAAAAACAAAACAAACAAACAAACAAACACTTCTTCAGCAATATACAAGGATTGATATCAACTTTTAAGGACTCATTCCAAAGCCCATAAAATGTCAGCTCAGTGATTTTTCTAAAACCAGTAGAGTAGTTATATGACCCAGATACCCTCCTAATGTTTAAAAATGTATATGTCATCTGATTTTCATTTTAATATAAAATCTACAAGTGTAAAATGAGCACAGAAAAGACATATTATTAACTTTTAGATTTGCTTGAGTAAATTTTGTGACCCAATATTTATATAGTACTCAGTTGAACACCTGGTATCTAATGGTAGGAAAAAACTACCAGCAAATTGAGGTTACACATAGAATTAAACATGAAGATATTTGATTTAGTTCATACTGACCTTTTAACTGTCTCATTTTGTGTTTCATGGTGTCTAGATCAGCCAAAATTTTGTCCTTTTTTAGCCAGTTCTGTTTTTCTAATTCTCCTGCTTTTTGCAAAGCTAGAATAATAAAAATACATAATATTTTATCTTGCATTCTATTACCAACAGCAATTTATCATGCAAGCCAATAATTTATAAAGAACTTTCTGCTCCAAGAAATAGATTCAATTAGAAACAAGTAATTAAAAGGTAAGGGTCATTAAAAGAAACCTTCTTTGAAAGATGACAGGGCTTACGGCATTTCTTTATGGAATAGAGGGGGGCAGAAAAGAAGAACAGTGCTGTTTTATTATATAGATTTACCATATGCAATAGCCATATTTCATTTTCTATTTCTACAAACTATTTGGAGGTGATGAAAGCCTGGCTTGGAACCATTCATTTTTTAAACATCCACCTACTGCCTAAAGGGTACAATTCTTTAAAATGAAAATGTGCAGACAGGTCATCTTCAATGTGAATTAAACTCATTTGTTATTTTCTAATGTATACCATTATTCTCAGTCTTACAGACCGAGGATCTCTTTATCAACTAAATTAGACATTTTTTCCATGCAGAATTCTCCATTCCAGTAAGAAAAAACAGGCAGTTGTGCAAATATAGGAGAATAGCTATCCTTGTGTACATATTACTTATTCTTTGCCTAAATATGATGTTACCACGTTGACATTATGCACATTTATCACCATCTGAGAGTCCCACTGCTGATGTGTACCTCAGGCTCGAGGCTCTGGAGGCTGTCCCTATCCACTTTGCCTTCTTTACCCTCCTGGGCTGCACTAAAGCCTGGAGAGTTGCTATCCATGTGCTGTCCCTCCCCTGTGCTGTGGCTGGGCCACTGCTCATTTGGCAACTGCCTCTGCTCCCTGCCACCAAGCCCTGGTCCCCACCATGTATCTCTGCTGTGCTGACCTCTTGGCCTGAGGGCAGAGACTGCCCCTGATGGGGCCATGGGGTTCAACAGGAGGCAAGACCCTGTGCCCACACCGTGCATACAGGAAGAGAAGCGGGTGGGAGACACTGAGGGTCTAGGAGTGGGTATTGCCAGGATGGTGCTAGCTCCAGACCCAGTGGGGCAACCCCCGGCTGCTGAGATATCTGTGACAGGCCTGGGGCCAAGCTGGAGGGGGCATGTTGGCAGGCCCAAGCCTGTTTTCCAGCCTGGGAGGCAGGGCCAGGACCCTCTGAGGCAGGAGCTGCATCTGGGGCTCTCTGAAAAGTCCTGGGCTGGGCTGGGCTGGGCCAGAGCTGCCATACGACACCCTGTGCTTTCCCTTTTGTCTCTTTGCATGTCTCAGCTGTGCCCAGAGCTTCAAAGTAAAATCATAATGTGGCAGCAAGAAAAAAATTATTCATTTTCTCATGGTGACATAAAATTTATTTCCCTCTCTCTTCATACGCTTGCTTAAAAGACAGCACAAAGAATAACTTACCATTCGGAGATAAAAACGGTTCACCACAAGATACCCAGATGGCAATGGGATTTCTAAGGATGAGGGTCAGCAAAGACTTATCTATACCATCCAAACTATCAGATGCCACAGACTTTAGAAATAATTTGGGTTTTGCATTCATTCCTGTGTTTTCTGGGAAGCAAATGACACAGTTGCCATTACTCAATGAATAACAAGTACTGAATTCACTTGTTTATTAAACATTTCATTCTTCCTTAATGACTTGACTTAAATAGGCAATACCAAAACCATACATAAATACATAAATTTGATCAGAAACTTTATATGCAACCAATAATCTGATTGTAAACATATATTTTAATTCCTTTCTTTCACTTCACCTAGTCATGAAAGAAATCTGAGGTGGCTTCCCAAAATATCTACTCTGAAAAGTGGTAAAATAAAAAGATAAGAAAACCCAAGGAAGGGGGAAAGGAGTATAGGAAGAGACTAAGACAGAGACAGGTGCTTCAGTGTTCTCATCTTTTAAATGAACAATAGTACCTATTTCATTCTGCTGTTGGGAAGATTAAAAGAAAAAAAAAGTGAAGGGTGGAGAATAATAGCATTTGATCTATTTAATTGGGCAAGCATCCAACAATAATGTTTTTCTTATTAAATGGACGTGAATACCACAGATTTATTTGCTTTCAATCTGTGAGATAAAGCACAATCTGGGCTCTGAGCGTCCTAGTGACCAAAGCAAAGAGGGAACACGTGGGCCGTGAAGCATGCGGCCCATGCGGAGATGAATGCCTCTCAAGATGTGCCTTTCCTGGTCCAGAGATCAGAGAGAGATTATTCCAAGGTCTTCATAAAGGGGTTATTTGTGATACAGCAAATAATATTTTATATAGAAATTAACATATATTGCAAACTTACACATGGTGGGCATTTTAGTAAGACCTCTACATACATTATCTTATGTAATTCTCAAAATAATACTCTGAGGAAGGTCCATTCCTCTTTTACAAAGTGAATGGGGTTTAGTTATACAGGTAGGTGGGGGCAGTGCCAGGATTAGAATCCAGACCTCTGCCTCCAGAGCCTGTGCCTTTAACCACGGCCTCCTTAGTGAGCATGATACTGAGTTTCTGACTGATGCTTGTTTTTTTGAAGTTCCTCAGTGCAAACTGATGGCATAATGCCAAACTGCAAGTCAATAAAGGGGGAAGCCTGCTAATGGACCTGCCTGACCCAAGGCTAACCTTTAGAATGTAGAGAGGAAGGGAGGAGGATACCCTTTTGAGAGCCCAGCATGAGTGACATTGTTTCCAAACAGGTTTTACATAAGAATTTGAAAGAAGAGTGGTTGAGGTTGTAATCTTCCAGAACCTGGAGATCAGATACTCTACATGTCAAATAAATGCAGAACTGTATGCTTTAGTGACTAGCTAGATATTACAGGTTCACAAAATTAATTTTTAAAGCTCTTTAGGAAACAAAACAAATAATATCATTGTGAAATAATACAATAATAAGAGCGCTAAGAGCATCTCCTGTTCTAATGTTTGGTCTCTGGCCCTGGCTCCTAAACTCCTTGGAATTTTCTGGGTAAGAGCGTTGTCTTGCTCTAATGAGGTGACTCCTGACAGGCACCTGGATGGGGGCTGGTCACCAGAAAGGACAAACCATGGTTAGAAGCTTGGAATTTTCAAACCCACCCCCCCATTCTCCAGAGATGGGAGAGGGGCTGGAAATGGTATTAATGATTGATTATGCCTACACGATGAAGTCTCCCTAAAATTCCCAGAAGTACAAAGTTAAGAAATCTTCTGGGTAGGTGCATGTGTGAAGGTGCTGAGAGAGTAGTGGGCTTGGAGAGAGCTTGGATACTCCATGCCCCTTCCCACATATCTTGCCCTCTGTGCCTCTTCCATCTGGATGTTCATCTGTACCTCTTATCATATTTTTTCATAATGAACTGGAAAATAGTAAGTAAACTGTTTTCTTGAGTTCTGTGAGCTGCTCTGGCAAATTAATCAAACTCAAAGAGGGAGTCAGGGAAGTTCTGATATATAGCCAATCAGTCAGAAGCACAGGTCTGGACATCTAAATTGGGGTGGAAGTGGGGAAGTCTTGTGGGACTGAGTTCTTAACTGTGGGATCTGATGTTATCTCCAGGTAGATAGTGTCTGAATTGAGTTAAGTTGTAGGACATACAGCTCATGTCACAGAATTGCTTGGTGTGAGGAAAAAAACCCATACATCTGGTATCAGAAGTGTGAATGTCACAGTAGTGTGAGAGTAAAGGAGACACACACAGGAAGAAGAGTGGGGCTTTCCTACTCAATCCTACACACAGTAATGATAGCTAGTATCCATTGAATGTTTGATAAACATCAACCAGGCACTATTCCAAGTGATATATATTCATATTCATATTCATATATAGTGTAGGTAAGTATATATTTACATGACTATTAGAGAAGACTGAGGTACAGAGAAGTTAAGCAACTTGCCCTAAAGCATTCAGCTAGCAAGTGACAGCTGGGATCTTAGCCCAGGTATTCTGGCTCCAAAACCCATATTTTTAACCTCTAAACCATGCCTTTCAATACAACAGTGGAAACTTGAGATAACTCTGCTGAATCACTGCTAGAAGACACTTTTTCATTTAGCAAACTGTTGTTGAGGACACGGTCCCTACCCTCAAGTTGTAGATAGTATAACAAGGCACACAGAGATGTGAACAGATAGTTGTAACAGTGTGTGAGGAGCAGCAATACAGGTGCATTTACTGGAGTTTCTGACAGTTTTTAGGCAGAGGCAAGCAAGGAGAGTTGGAGGACAGGAAGTATAGAGAGGACACCTTCTCTTCTAATAGTAGGAAGGGATTTACATTAATCCAGGCCCACTTTCTTAAGTGGTCTCCAGTTGGTTTGGGTTCTGAATTTAAGAACAAAAGCTGCTCATGTTGCATAAAATAACTAAGCTATTAAACACACTTTATAAATTCTATACAACTTATTTATTGTTTTGGTGCTGAAACCATACTTACACTTTTTTATCAACATGAGAATCTCACATGAGAGTAGCTTCCTGTGACTGTAATTCTAGACAGGGTGAGTGAATGAAAGAATCACAATTAACTGTATACGACCGAAAGGAGGTAGAGTCAGCTAACTCCGGGAGAATGCGACCAACCTTCCATGCTTTTAGCAGTTGCCTCTTTTGTTCCCACAGAGACTGCCTCTTTCTTTGGTTCCTTGGAGTCTCTCTGGATAAAAGACTCATCTAGAGCCCATAAAACCAAATGACGCAAGGAAAGGATTGTGGTTCCGTCTTTGGCATATACTTTGGAAGCTGCTCTGGCAAGACCAAGTTGTTCCGTGCACTCTGTAAGAAGCTGAGCGAAATAGTGATAGAACTGGAATCATCATACGAGCTTGTTTTTAGAGAAATCTGAGAGAATTCTTTAATTTGAGAAGATAGAAATCTGAATCATTACTGATTTGGTCTGTGGTTAGAGACAAGTTTGGATGTTAGATTGTTTTCCGTAATCTTAGTCCAGTTAAGCTGTGAAAATTCTTAACTCCAAAAATTTAATGCAGCAACTGACATATTTAAAAATATTTTATCTTCAGAGTAATTATTTTCTAAGAAATGGTCAATCTAGAATCCACTTTCAATTTTGTTGCTTTATAAGGTATAAAATTATGTAACACTTCATAGTGATGAATTGCTTTAAAATAAATGAGTAGTTGACTTTCACTGGCACATATTATTACTTCAGTTTAAAGATGTAAAAACAGGCTGAAAAGTTCATGTTTTTGCTCAAGACCACAAAAGCCAGCTGTGGACCCAGGGTGAATCTTGGAGTTGCTAACTTTTGTATTTTGCTTAGTCCACTGAACGTCATAATAAAAAATCTATTTGTATTTAACCAAAGATGTGACTGTATATGTGTGTGTTTGCAAGAAAGTCTCCAGGGTAACTCTGTATCATATTTAATATTGCTTGTAAAATATGCTATTAAATGTATTGGCCAGAATGTAATAAACAAGACAATCACCAGGCTATTTAAGAACACAGCTGGGTTTGGGCCTTTGGGGCTCTCTTCAAATCCTGCCACTAAAAGGTAACAGCCTCTAAGACAGAAATCACACATTTCCCTCCTAGCACAATTCCTGCTTCTCCAATTTGAAAATGAAATGAAATGCTCTATCAACAAATAAGTGCTCAGAATCTCTTAGAATATTCAGGTGACATAGACCTTGAAGTTGGAATACAAAGGAAGGTGAAAAAGCATTCTGTCTCTCATAGGAATGAAGAAAATCTGGTAACTTTGTTTTCCCCATGTTTATATATCTTTGCTCTTTAGCCAATCTGAAAAACATTCTGGTGTCTCATTTTTCTAAGTCTGTATCCAAAGAAATATAATCTAGAAAAATATTTTTATTAAAAAAACAGATCTTGATCTCATCAGCCTAAATCAGCAAAATCGGCCATGGTCATTTATCACTCAGTCCCACTGTTTTTTCTTGTCAGAAGCATCACCATTATCATTACCTCTGAGGAGGCAAGAGGCATTTATTTAAGTGATAGCCACTTACCATGGGGAATGTTCCAGTCACAATTAACTTTCCATTTTGATATCCATCTCCATTTTTGTATGCAATTATTTTCACTGCCTTCTGGTGCATAGCCGCCACATCACTATGAGATACAACTTGGGTGCAGGTCTTCATCCGTAAAGATAATAGACGTTCTTCATAGTAACTTAGAGTTTTTTCAGCCTCGTAGGAAGATAAATCAACCTGATTTTTAAAAAAATCACAGGTCTACTAAAGCTTTTTTCTTTTCTTTTCGTTATTTTGGGTCACTTTGGTCCCCTAAATTAATAAATATTTGCATGTATACATGCATGGCACCTACATTTTGAAATGCTCACTTCACATGCTATGGGTATTGGATGCTGTAATGGGAAGGACATTGAGTTACAACCCGGTTCTCTTCCCAGCCCTGTCACTGACTCTCTAGGAGGTTGAAAGCCTCTGGCTTGTGTTTCTGACCTTCTCCTGCAACAGGAGATAGGGAAGAAGAATGCCAAGGTCAGAGGAGCCCCGGATTGAAGTAGAGGACACTGGCACTACAAATGTTCTCTTAATCTTTAAGAGGCTGCTGCTCTGTGGTGGCAGATGCTGAAAACTGAGGAGGTGAGTGAGGTGGTAGTAACGCCCGGTACTGAGGGGGGTGAATACTACACATCACCGTTCCTTTTCCATTCCCACTCAGGATGCTGCCCTGAGGGAAAAGCTCGATCTGAGATTCTGTAACATTGGGGATTGTTTCCAGTCAGCTCACCACCACCTCTTTAGCACCACCCTACTGCCACCAAAGCAAAGCCAAATGTCTTCAGACTTCCCCAGCGGCCTGACTTCCTTCCTCTGTCAGAGTCACTGTTTCAGTTGGGTGGGTGACTGTTTCCACCAACCCCACCATCTATGCGCTGCTATGTGATCAGGTTTAGGGGAGAGACAGGAGTGACCTGGGAATGGGGTGGGCCTGCCCTGAAAGGCACACCAGGTGGGAAGGTTTCCACCACTTGGAAATAGGTCCATTTTATACAGGCGTGTAAGCTGCGCTTAGCACATCTCATTCTAAACTTGAAGGAAAGGATTTTTTTTAATGGTGCCATTTTAAATTAAAATCACAGAAAAGCAGCAGAGATTTTTTTCTCCAAGAGCTATTAATAGTATTAGACATGGATGTGTGAATTCAGGCACCCAACCTGAACGGTCATTAACAACATGTCAAATTCCCCCAATGTTCCATACTAGTAAAAAGGCATTTACCCTGCAGATATGGGCAAAAAACTGCTCCACTAAGTAAAGATTCGCAGTTACTTCCTCATCTAAAAGCAACACAGAGAGCAGTGAAAGGTGTCAGTAGATGATTAAAGCCGCAGAGGTGCCCAATTAACTTCAAAGAATGTATCGAACTATTAATAGACAATGTATTTAAAATTAAAATGGGGAAAAGGAAATCAATGTAGGTGGAATGGTAAAGGTGCATCAGAAGAAGATGAATTGGATGAGTGTAGATGAACTTGAGTGCAAGGCAGATAATGATCGCATCAAAGTTTCCGAAGTGATGCTATACATGTATTAGCAGAGCTCAGCTCATTACCCACCTCGGCCACATTTATGACCTTGAAAGGCCCTTGTGAGAAGGGTTTCTGGATCTTGGAACCTGAGGCACAGAGGAATGGCAGCCCTGGAAGCAGTTGTTTCAGTCTCTTCTCTGCTCTCATGGATTGTCCGCATGCCAAGCACAGCATTGTTTTTGTGTTTCCAGTGGATGAGAGATAGTAGTATCCCTAAAAAGATGGACAAAGATGTTTGATGTAGGCACATTTGAATTATGAGAGCATTTTTGTAGAACACTTTACAATGCAAATAAATCACTTATAATCCTCAAAAGGTAAATTCAAAGTCTCAACAGGAATGCATTATTTTGCTCCCTAATAATTATACATGAAAAAAATTTCCAAACTCTGTTGACTGAAAAAGTCTAGAGACAATGACAATTCAACACTTTTTTTTTGAGGCAAGATGCTTTGCTGAATTGTTTTTAATTTTAACCAGGGTCTCAAAAAACAGGAATGAGTTCAAGTTAAATTTCACAGGAGAATCAATTTAACTTACATCCAGAATTAGGGTTTCCTGGAGGAATGGCCAGGTCCAGATCCGAGGCAAGAAAAATACACGATATGCAAGGGATGTCTTGTGATGTCCAGAAAGAAAAGAAACCATTCAAAAGTAAAAGAAGCATATCAGAAAGACCCAGGAACCAACGTGAAGGAAGCTCCGCTGGCTCAAAGTGGGACGATTTGGGAGCAACAGCAAGAATGACAACTGAAATACTCTGAATACATTTGAATATGAAAAATGCCATGGATTCATAAGGACAATAAAAATGTAAGTAGAAATGAAACAACAAAAACCCAACAAAAAAATAAAAACAAACCCACAACTTAGAGAAGTCCACTGGAAGTAAAATGGCTCCAATTTATAACTTTGAAAATTGGCCATTAGGAAGTGTGGCAAAGTTTTGGAGAAGATGGCCATGATAACACTGCCCCATCTTGTCTGCATGCCCTTCTGAAATGTGACTTTGCTACTTCTCTCCAGTCAAGAAATAGAACTGCTTTCTCCTTTTCTTCTTTCCCTGAATCTGAGCAAGGCCATGTGGCTTGCTCTGGCCAATGTAGCATTAGTAAATGGGAGGCAGCCAGAGGCGGAGAAATCACTGCACGTTGGAGCTTGTTCTCTTCTGGCTCCAACTGGAGCCGTGTCAGCAGTGTGAGTCATCCTGACCTAGCCTGCTTGAGAGGCCTGGAGGAGAACGAAGGCCTCCAGCTAATACCCACAGTCCCCACAGAACCACTCACCTGCCAATGCACCACCAGAGACTACAGCCACATTAGTGACCCCAGGCAAAATCAGCAGAATTGCCACATTTCAGCCCAGGCCAAATTGCTGACCCACAGAACAAAAAAAAACGGTGGTTGTTTTAAGCCACTAAGTTTACAGGTGGTTTGTTATACCATAGCAGATAAGTGAGATAGAAAGATTTAAGAATTTAATTTATTCTACCATCCTTTAAGAACCATATTGTTGGGTAATCAAATACCTAGTTGAAGAGGTTAAACCTAGTTGAAGTTCTTCCTTATATTAGAAGTTCAGCTAATAAATGTGGGGGAAGACAATAGAATTAGACAAAATCGACCGTTTTGAAACTCTTAATAAATTAATTGATTTAGGTGAAGATCATCAAACTGTAACACTAGATGAAAAGTCATTGGGAAAATTGCTAAGTGTGGGATTAGGTTGTAATCGCCTGAGCCCACTGATACCTGTTGTCACTAAAAACAGACAATCCAGACACTGTATGCCCGTGTAAGTGATAAATATGAAATAAACAGTAAACCCTATGAAGATTCTGGTAAAAAAAAAAGATTGAACATAAATCTACAGCTCTAGATACAACTTCTTTTTTACAGAAATTATGGAGGCTAGAGAAACAAATTAAAGGATGTCACAGGAAGTAAATAGACAAATCCAAATAAGAGGCTTTCTACGGGGAAATTTCAGATTCTGCAACTAGATGTCACATAGGAAACTTGTTTGAATCCTGACTTTAGCCAACCAACCATAAGAAAAATCTTTTAGGAGAACCTGGGAAATATTATTAAGAAAAAGGGTGTTAGATGGTCAAAGAATTACTATAAACATTTAGAACAAATAATTGTTGAAAACTGGGAAGTTTCTTTTGACTAACATAAATAAAAGAATACTTTGATTATATGGTTCAAAGAAAGGTATCCGTTTCATAATTACTGAGACATCAACTCTAAGAGTCCTTTCTTTACTTTTTTATTATAAAATATTTCTATCACATACAAAAATAGTACAGCATAATGAACCCCATGTACCCATACTCAACTTCCACAATTATCTCAGTGTTAATGAAAGTTAACAAAAAGGAATCTAAATTTTGTTTAGAGTTGCTAAAAGGCAACCAAGTTTTAAAATCCTATAGGAAAAATATCTAAAAAGTCATGAGATGGCCACTAAATAAAATTAGCTAATAATTGAATTAGTGTTGACCAGGAAATTGAGGAGCTGACTGGTGGTGAAGAATGCTATGGTTGGTGCTAAAAACTGCAAGTTATTGATAAAGCCATGGAAATTGGCAACTGTATTCAAGTTAAACAAATAACCTTAGAAGGCCATCTGAGTCTTTAAGAACTCATTTTGCAAAAAGAGCCATTTTATACTGCATAGGAGTAATGTTGCATCTTCTATGCCATGCTCTTTTGAAAAAATGTTTTTAACTTATTTTTTTATTGATGTATATATAGTTGATATGCAATATTATATTGGTTTCAAGTATACAACATAGTGATTCAACAGTTATCTGCATTATTAAATCCTCACCACAATGTAGTTACTATTTGTCAACACAGGAAGATATTGCAGAACCACTGACTGTATTCTCTATCCTGTACTTTCACCCCATGACTAATTTATATCTCTTATACTAGGAAGGAAAATGACAGGAAAGCAGATGGCTTTCAAGAATTATTTTGAAGAAAATAAGTTGCATGTATGATTTTAAGATTAGTTCAGATGAAAGCCAACGTGCCAACCATCTGATGCATGGCACTGTGCCCAGCATACTGATGGTCCTACCTTGGTTAAATAGGGGTTCTGCCCAGGTTGTTTAAGGAAAAACATGTAAAAGAGTTTAAAAAGTATATCTAACAAAAGGATCTAGTAGAAAACTCTGGTATTTGAAGTGTTCATCTTTTCTTAAGCAGATGCCAAGATGCCCACTGAGCTCTCAGCCCATGGGCCAGTTTCACTGTCCATTTCACATCACACCATTAATGCCACCACTCTGTTAACTCAGCTTAGATTCTATGATCTGTCATTATAATTACTCCCCTTTCTTTTCCCACCAACTCTACAGTTCCACCTTCCCTGTCTCTTTTGATAAAACCATGAGTTTTAACTCACTGGAAAACTTTAACTATATACAAAAGTATGACGAGCCCCCATCTATCCTTCATCTAGCTTCAACAATTAATAACAATTATCAGTCTTTTGCATCTGTATCCACACCACTTCTCTTCTTACCCTGGATTACTTTGAAGCAAATTCCAGATGCATCATTTCATTCTCAGATATTTCAGTATATCTCTCTTTAAGATAAATGCTCTTTTATCATACCTATAACCTCACACCTAAAATTAATAATACCTTGATATAATCAAATATGCAGTCATTATTCACATTTCTACAACTCTCTCCCTTTCTTACAATTGAGACAGAATCAAAATAAGGTCAATACATAATTGGTTCATATACCTGTTAAATTTATTTTAACCTCCGTGTTCCTCCTATTATCTCTTTCTCTCATTTCATTTATTGTAATTTATTTGTTGTATATTTTCAGGTAGGATTTTGATAACTACATGGACTTTGTCTTTTAAAGTGCTCCTCAATCTCCTGTATTTCCAGTAAGTTGTAAGTTATAATGAAGGACTTGATTAAGCTCCAGTTAGATTTTTCAGGGCAAGAGCACTTCAAAAGTTGTCCTATGTACTCCCATCAAGGGGTATATGTTATCTATTGTGTCTCTTTTTGTAATGATCATAGCTACGATGATCATTACCTAGATCTATTAATTTTTTAAAGTTCACAACACAGTGATATTTAAATTTTTTCATACCTTATTCATTTATTACCTGGGATAATACTAAAAAGCAAGACTTCTCCTTATCATATTTTGTTATCCTGAGGTAGAGTTCATAAAGGAAAAAAGAAATACTTGATTCCTTATCTTCCAATTGTCAAAGTAACTAATGAGTTCCCTTGCGTCATCCAATTGTGATCAATAAGTTATTGCTATTTGATATCAGTATATATGTACATATTTGAACATATCAGATGTATGTCAATCCACTTGATTCATTATTCTTAGTGATGTATAAATTATTTCATTTTCGGGTTGGGGTCTTTTCAAGCTGACTTGATTACTTTTAAGGTGACTACAGTATTCTTTGACAGCATATTTGCTAACGAGTATGAACTCACAGACAAAGGAGAAAAAGTCAAGGGAAGTAACATAGTTAAAACCAAAGACATGCAAAATGGTATGGTACCTTTAGACAACCATAAATCATTCAGTAGAGCTAGAAAACAACGGGTGAAGGAGAAGAGGCAGCAATTTAGAGATGTGCAAGCAACAGAGTAAGGAAAGTCTTGGAGGGTCTTAAAGTGGCCTTAGGTGATTTCAATTTTATGTAATTTTCTAATCATCAACTATGGCAAGATGGCTTGACCCAGTGGCTCATAAGTATCTCAGGTATTTATAAAGTATGGTACAAGTAGTAATTCTTACTAATAAAAATTATAGGACCAAACTTGAGAAATCTTTTCCTTTAGAAATTAGAGTATATTCACTCTTAGCTCTATGCTTAACACAATGTAATATAGTTGAAGTCACCTACAGTCATTTGCATTTTAGTATGCTTTCTGGAGTGGACTGACATTTAGTATGGCAGGCACACCTGTGGGTGTGTAGTGTGATTATCCTATCTCATGTGTGTTCTGGGGAACTGATGACGAACCACAGGTGGTGCTGGATGATAGGGAACCATTGAAACAACATAAGCAGAAGGTAACATGATTGTTTCTTCTTTTGTTCCTAACCAGAATTACAGAATCTAAGTGATTTCATTCACAAATCCATGTTCAGTTTGTATGAACATGAAGTTTTCTAGTAACATTTTTTTCTTGCTTTATTAAATTAACCCATTTCCCACTATTTTGCTTTTACCCTCAGTAGGAAGGAAACACTTACTGGTTGATCAATGTTTTCTTCTTTAATCACAGAAGATGTACAAATACCAGCATAATTTGCTGCTGTGATTTCCTTATCTAGGGTAGTACTATGAAAGGCCATAAAAGCTTTCATATTCTCCATGTAATTCCACTTTTGATTGGAAGCCCCATTGTTATATGGCTTATATTTCTGGAAAAAAGAGATAAAATATGGATTCAAATAGACAAGAGAGTTTATTATTTGGTGATAGCAGTCATAGCTTTCACTGCATCAATTCTGAAAACACAGCTAATTATAAATCCACTATGCAGCAATAATTACTACTGATATTTGATGATTATATATGCAATATTTTTTATATTTATATTATGCATTCTTTGGTTTACAAAAATGGAATCATGAAACATAATTTGGTAACTGCATTTTTTTTAACTTAACAATATTCCATGAACTTTTTCCTAACTTTTTTTAAGGATATATACATTTGACCTTAGGGATATTTTATTTTACCAATCCTCAATATTTAGACATGTAGATTGTTTCTCAAATTTTCCTTATTATAAGCAGAATGGCAATGAAAAATCATACAAATGAATCTTTATACAGACCCTTGATATTTCCTCAAGTAGAATTGCTGATAAAATAACATGATCATTTAAAAATATTATATGTCATATCAAACTTTATCATATCAAAATATTTCCTAGAAAGGTTATTCTAGTTTACACTTGCAACAATAGTATATGAAATCGCCTGTTTTACTCACATTCTGACCAAAACATCATCAATTTAATAAATGAAAAATCGTAACTTGATATTCTAAATTACATTTCACTGGCTACCAGGAAGGTTTTATTTTTAAATGTGAGTACACGCAGTTTTATATGTAATAGAAAGAGCTTATTTTTCTAATTATAAAACTTGGCTCAAGTATAAATAAAGAAATGAGTGGTTTCAATTTAAGAGAATTTAAACTAGTAGATTAGTTCCAACTAAACATCATGACACCTCAAGGAACTTTATAATGAATAACACTTACTTTACAAAGAGAGATTGAGAGAAAGGGAAAAATAAATGAGTCTTAAAAATTGACTTAATAGGTCAGACAATATAGCATCCCTTCGAGGTATGGAAAACAAAGACTGTATTTTAAGAAACAGGGAGGAGGTCTGGTAACATTAACCTAACATGTGTCATTTTTATTATTTTACTTGAACTTTAATATTTTCTCACAAATGAATTGCTTCAAGAAATAAAATGAAACACCAGCAAAGAAAAAAATCTTGAAAGGTACTACAAATTACCTTGGGATCAAGCTCATTTCTTATAAAATGGAAACCTTAGGGGAAAACATCCATATCTATAATTTTTTTTTTGAAACTGATTAAGGTACTAAATTTGCATCTGCATGAGGTTTTAATTTCACTGTGATCTGTGACAAAGAGGCACCTGACAGGGAAAAATGTGATGTTATATATACTATGTCTCCTAGAATAAATTTTAAGTCCATATTTATAATAAGGATAGAAGACTTAAGAAAGCTTTGTTATTTGTCCGGAGTGCTACATCCCAATTTTGGAGTTAGGACCTACAAAATGGATCACCCTATTGCTATTAATAACATGGAATAAAAAAAGGTTTTTTGGAGACAATATATTCTGTTCAACAGAAAGATGGTAAATAATGTGGAGGATACAGAAAGTAAATGCAGAGCAGGGATGTTCCTGAATGTTCTCTCCTCCTAACAAGGAAGTACACATATCCACCTAGCAGTGTCTTTGGTTACAAGTGAGGATGATAAACATGGAAACAGAATTCTGTAGGTCTTTACCCAGAACTCAGATGAGGACAGACTTCTCTGGAGTCTTCCAAAAATTATTTTGCTGCTATTTTGAACATTTGCAAAAGTATGTTAAAAGTGTATTTCACAAATGGAAAAAAAAGATGTGGTACATATACACAATGGAATATTACTCAGCCATAAAAAAGAAGGAAATCTTGCCATTTGCAACAACATGGATGGTCCTAAAGGATATCATACCAAATGAAATAAGCCAGGCAGAGAGAGTACCATATGATTGCACTTATATGTGCAATTTAAAACAAACAAACCAAAAAAGAAATAGACCCACAAATATAGACAATAGACTGTTGGTTATCATAGGGAAGGAGGTGGGGAGATGGGTGAGGGGGATAAAGAAGTACAAACTTCAAACTGTAAAATAAGGTAGCCATAGGAATGGAACTGCCACACAGTGAATATAACCAATTATATTGTAGTACTTGGCATGATAATGGGGTAACTACACTTTTCATGGCAAGCATCTAGTAATGTATATAATTATTGAGTCAGTATGTTGTACATGTGAAATCAGTATAATATTGTAAATCAACTTATTCCAATTTTTTTAAAGTGTAATTCTTTTTTTTTTTTTGAGAGGGCATCTCTCATATTTATTGATCATATGGTTGTTTAACAACAATAAAATTCTGTATAGGGGACTCAATGCACAATCATTAATCAACCCCAAGCCTAATTCTCAACAGTCTGCAATCTTCTGAAGCATAACGAACAAGTTTTTACATGGTGAACAAATTCTTACATAGTGAATAAGTTCTTACATGGTGAACAGTCCAAGGGCAGTCATCACAGAAACTTTTGGTTTTGATCATGCATCATGAACTATAAACAATTAGGTCAATTATGATTATTCGTTTGATTTTTATCCTTGATTTATATGTGAATCCCACATTTCTCCCTTATTATTATTATTATTATTATTTTTAATAAAATGCTGAAGTGGTAGGTAGATGCAAGATAAAGGTAGAAAACATAGTTTAGTGCTGTAAGAGAGCAAATGTAGATGATCAGGTGCTAAGTATTAATCCAAGCTAGACAAGGGCAACAAAACATGCACGGATGCAGAAGATTTCTCTCAAAACAGGGGGGGGTGAGGTTCTAAGCCTCACCTCTGTTGATCCCCAATTTCTCACCTGATGGCCCCCCTGCGACTGTGCCTGTCTTAGGGTTGTTCCTCCCTTGAGAAATCTTACCCATCTCTGGCTAATCTTCTGGGGCCATACAGGGAAATGTAAAGTTGGTAAGTGAGAGAGAAGCAATATTGTTTGAAAAGGTTAGCTTTTTATGCAGATTTATGCCCTGTGGCTTCTATGCTCAGCATTTGTTTAAAAGTCTATTTCTAATGAGTCTTTTAACAGAATTAACATTAATGAGCTCACATCCTACAGAAAGAATCCCCTGACCATGCTGTTTACTCCAGTTGCCAGGTAAGGAGGAACTTAAATTTGTCCCAATCACTGAAATTAAAATATGTGCATCTAACAACTATTCACCTGATTGAACCCACCACTGAGATTGTATGAATGCTATTAAGATAATTTCTCATGCTTGCCAGTGGATTTTATTTAAGTAACTAGCATAGCTCCTGACATGCAGTAAGCCCACAATCATCATCTGCTGGGTTAAACTAAATTAAGAGTTACATGAACATATTCAATTTCAAATATACACAAAACTACTGTAAATACTTTAAAGATGGTTTTCAAGAGTGGTTTCTTTTTTATTGAAGTACAGTTGATACATAATATTATATTGATTTCAAGTATACAACACAGTGGTTCAACAGTTATACACATTATTAAATCCTCACCCCAACCAGTACAGTTACTGTCAACCCAGAAAGATTTTACAGAACTGTTGACTGCATTCTCCATGCTGCACCTCCATTCCCATGACCAATTTATATTATGATTGAGATTTCTGTGCTCATTTATCCCCTTCGCCTATCCCACCCAACCACCCCAATCCTTCCTACCCCATAACCATCCACCACTTCTCAGTGTCCATGAGTTTACTGCTGTTTTGTTCATTTTGTTTTATTTTGTTTTTAAATTCTATTAATAAGTGAAGTCATATGGTATTTTTCTTTCTATGCCTGGCTTATTTCACTTAGCGTAATACCCTCTAGGTCCCTCCATGTTGTCTGAAGATTATTCCATTGTGTATAGGCACCACATCTTCTTTATCCATTCATCTATTGATGACACTTTGGTTGCTTTCATATCTTGGCTCTGTAAATAATGAAGCAATAAAATAGGGGAGCATTTATCTTTTCAAATCAGAGTTTTTTGCTTCAGGTAAATTCCTAGAAGTGCAGTTACTGGGTTGTATGGTATTTCTATTTTTAGTTTTTTGAGGAACCTCCATACTGCTGTCCATAGTGGCTGCAACAATTTACATTCCCACCAACAGTGTAGGAGGGTTCCCATTTCTCCATATCCTTGCCAACACTGTTATTTCTTGTCTTTTGGATAATGGCCATTCTGACTGGTGTGAGGTGATAGCTTATTGTGGTGTGATTTGCATTTCCCTGATGATTAGCGATATGGAGCATGTTTTCATGTGTCTGTTGGCCATCTGTATTTTTTCTTTGGGAAATGTCTATTTAGGTCCTCTGCCCATTTTTTAATAGGATTATTTGGTTTTTTGGTGTTGGAGCATTTAAGTTTTTTATATATTTTGGATGTTAACCCCTTAGCAGGTGAATCAGATAGGTTTATATGACAGTCGTTTTTTCTCCACAACAAGCATGGAAATTTACTTGAACTTAACTAAATAAAGGAACATGATTACTCTTTAGCCTATATATATCTTACCTGAACAATTACTGGATAGCTGCAGACTTCATTTCTAGCTTTAGTCATAGACACAGCCAACACTAGGTCTGGGTTACTCACCAGGTGAAAGGTCCTTAGGAAAACAAGATGAGATTCATTACAAAGTAGCATGACCAGATTGGAGCCCCCTCTGTGCCACTTATCAGTGCATTGCCTCCTGGTTCCACACATGCTCTATGATAGTGGTTGTGAATTCTTTAAGCACCTCCCCTATAGTAAGCACAATATTAAGCTTTCTCAGTAAAGAGTTCTGGAAGCACACTGCAAAAGTAAGGGGTCTGCTTGCTCTTTCTGGCTACTGAATGAGGTCAGAGGTTGGGAGAGAGAATATCTAGTAGTGCTGTGCCCCAACCAGGTGCCCAGAACGTGTTGTCCCTTGGCACCCTCACACGCCTGGTCTAGCCTGGTGGTCATCTGCTTGAGGCCTCTTGATAGGCACATCACATGCTCCAAACCTTCAGCTGCACCAGCACCCTGATTCCCTTTGCATGCCTACATGCCCAGCAATCAGCTGCACCCCCACATATGTTCCTGAGGGTTGCTTCCTGCTTGCCCAGCAACCACACACAAGGTCTGGCCAGGAAACCAACATATTTCTCTGCCATCCAGTGGGCTGTACCCACTTTTTCACTGAGCTTTGAACTCCAGCTTTGGTGAGGGGCCACTTCCAAGTTTGTCTTTAACTCCCTCAGCCATTGTTATTGGCACTCAGTATCATTCAAATAAGTGAATGATTGTATATTTCCTGCAATGACCTACTGACCTGTCAGAATTAGTTATGTAGCTATCTCCATGTTTTTGCTGCCAGAATAGATGCAGCAATTTCTCCTGTGCATCAGTGCCAAGCTCAGCTATTACAGTGTTGGATTGTCTTTTCCTTTTTGAACAGTGCAGTCAACTGGCACTTGCTCATAACTTGAGGGCTTACATTTTGTTGGAAGATTGAGTTTATAACCTTCTACAAAAAACCCTCTGTGCCAAACAGCAATGAGGTAGCTTACTCTGTGTCCCAGCAATATCCAGCGTGATGTCCCAGCCTTCCCCACTAACCTGAAGTATGAGCACATACAAGTCACTTAATCTCCTTAAGCCTCGGTTTACCTAGGCTTGGAATCAAGTGACTAAGAACAGAAAATGTTAGGTGTCTTTCAGCTCCAAATTCCATGACACTGTTTCTTCCTTTATAATTCTGAGTCTTGCTGAGGGGATTTTTATCCCTGAGCATTTTTTTTGTATTTCCTCTTAGAGGCCATGATTAATTCATTTTGTGCCAGAATTGAAAACGGGAGAAAGATGTCAGATTATCTCAAAAGCTGACCTGGGCCATTCTTCTGTGTGGCTGGAAACTGAGGGAGGGTGTCTTTGGCAACTTGCTACTCTCTTCCAATGTCCTGCTCTCATTCCTTGCACTTTCAGCCTCGACTACATGCTAACCTGGCAAGGCCTTCTCACAGTCATAATTTCCCTTAAGAGATTTTGCTGATAATTGCTTAAGATATCAGATTTCCTAGTTATTTTCTATTTTAAATAGAAGGCTAAAATGAAAATGTAATTTAAGACCCAAAGGACTGAATGAAAGGACTAATGGCAGAAAATGCTCAGCACAGTGATAGCCCCTTGGTACCTCCTGTTACACTGGCAGTGAGCTGCTCTGCCTACCTGCTACTAATACAAATTCTGAATGGGCAGTTGCTTCCCTAAGCACCAACTTACTTCTGTGAAAAATATGGAGGATCAAAAGTCTATGGTTCACATAAAGGGAATTTTCTACAGGTTTCTGTTATATATATCAATCCAGGGTTCTTTAGGCCTCACCAGTTTATCAGAACAAATGGTTTCCAATATGCAGTTACATGAAAGAGAACAAAGCCAAAATGCCAAGAGAACAAAGAGAAAATGCCAAGGGAAAATGTGGAAGAAAGATCAGAAGTATTGTCACTATGCAGACACATTTCTGCCAGAAGACATATATTCTTCTGAGTCATGCCCCCAACCAATCATCAAGACTTCTGCAAAACCTCTCCTACCCAAGTTTTTGTGAAAGTCCCCGTACAGTGACCCATATGCTCAAGAGCAAATCCTGTTCCACTGCCCTTCCTGCTCACTGCTCTACCTCTTCTCTAGTCTCAGAAGTTTCTGACCAGGGATCAATCAATACTACCATCTCCCACCAACTGACTCTCTTTTCTGTGCCTTGACATGGGGAGGCCTCAGTGACAACATTGCACAGTGTTCTACAAAGTAGAAGGAAACTAGAAAAGACTGTCCTCTCTTTTGGGTTGCATGTTAGATTTTGCAAATAGTGCTGGTCTTAGCCCAGTGTTTCAGAGTTTGAGGCAAATGTGTCTTTCTGTTTTTACTTAAATGGCCTTCCCCTCTCTTGCTTTTTCCACAGCACTCAGGATGAGAAGCAAAACCAGTGACAGACATTGAGCAGGACTCAAAACTCACCCTCTCTGCCAATAGCCAAGTGTTTCAGAGTTAAACCCATCATGCTTGGCTGTCTCTTGCCTCAGGGTTACTTCTCTCATTCCCCATACATATCCACCCCAGTTCATCACCCATGTTCAAATTCTAACTTAGGCTTTAGTGGGATCTCTACTATAATGCACGGAGCTGGGGTGGTAAGATGTATCACTAACTTCCAGATATGTAGAGCTAGGGGAGCACTAGCTCTGCTGGGGCAGGGATTTTTATATTGCTCTTTGCTAAAGGACCAGCACCTAAAACACTGCCCTTACAACCCTGTGCAGCTGAATGAATTAATTCTGGCACCATATAGCCAACAATTCACAGGGAGAGGAGTCTGCTTCCTGGCTCTCTGATGCAAAGGCAGTTTCGCTAGAATGAATGGGGCAAAGCAACACATTCTCCAGGTCTTTCTACAAACTGGCTTTTCAGCCCTCTCTAAAACAAGCCCTGTGAGCGTTCCTTGCTGGCCGCTTTGTTCATCTCAGATAGTGAGCTGAGTAAGGGAAGCTCCTTTCTTGCCCATGCTAGGCTCGCTACCGCCACCTGCTGCAGCTTAACCAATCTCTGAAAGCAGAGATTCCTAAGCCTTTTGCATCACACACCTTTTGAGAACCCAATGAATGCCATAGCTTTTTCCAGAAAAAAAAAGTACTGCACAAGTGCACAGACACACATTTTGTAGAGTATTTCAAGAGATTGAAGAGGTCCCCGGAGCCCAACCACATAACTCTAATGGCAGAATTTGAAACAAAACAAACTGAAAACCAAGGAGTTGATTTCATTCTTGTTAAAGAAATGTTCAAACATGCACAAAAGCAGTGAGAAATGAGTAAGAAACCACCGTGGACTCAGCAGCTACCAACATTCTTCCATTGCTGCTGCATCTATTCCCTCTCAACCTTTACTAGTGATCAGCATTTTTCTTCTTTTTGTTAACATTTATGACATCCAACATAATTGAGAAGACTTTCTTCATATCATCTGGTACCCAGACTCTTTAAAATTTCTCCTTATTAACTAAGAAATAATCTTTTTTTTTTACATTGGTTTACTTGAATTTGGATCCATATTGGATTTGGTTGATACATTTGTTTAGACAAGAATTCCTTTTCACTGTGAGAGCAGAGGCCATATCAGTTGGTTCTTTGATGGAAGCAGGGGAGGGAGGGAAGCCATGCATGTGAGGAGGAGCAGGAGATGAAGTTAATGAAAAGCATTGCACAAATTTTTAAATGGGCACTTTTGAGAGTTCTTACTCGATCCCTTCAAATCATAAAAATAAAAGTAGATGACAGTCTAGTTTTCTCTTGACTTCAATGGCCAGTTAAAACTATAAACCTAGTATGTCAGATTTCACATTCTTTATCTGAATTGATAATGGAGAAGTTGTGGATATACTACTGAGTATTAACATTTGATTACACTCTTTCTCTTCCTTGAGTTGGATAAAAACTTACTGGTAACATTAAATAGAAGAATCTGAAGTCCTCAAGTACACCCCTGCTCTGGCAGCTCTGTGGGAACCGTTCAAAATCTAGGCTCGCATTCACCTTTTGGTATATTAATCCCCAAATAGACTGGGATTACCTGCTGTCTTCCTTGTGCATCCAGCGTTGATGACTGTCATTCACTTTTTTTTCTACCAAAACCACCTCCATGCCTGAATGCAGGTTGGGACCTTGCACCCCCAAGACTAGCTGAGGAGTGGCATGGCTTATAATATGCCCATCTCTGTATTTGAACTGCTGGCGGCAAAGCTTCTGCAATTGACTGTGCTTTAGAGAATTACTGAAATGAAAAAAATCCCATTGGTGGCAAAAAAATGTACCATGCACTTGTTGTGCTAGAGATTGCAAATTCTGTGGAGAGACCCACAGTGAACTAAATTCACTTATAATGGTGAGGCATCATCATCAGGACAGCAGCAATGCTATTTGACTTGCACTGCCAGGCCAATATAGAAAGTAGAATTGTGAGCTTATTTTGTAACAGAAATAAATGTTTATCCAAGAGAATTTGAGAAATGCACCAGCAAAGAAAAAGGAAATTCAGTTGAAGAGATAATTAAAGAGGAAAAAGAGGAGAAGGAAAGGGAGCATATAGAATCAGAACAGAAAGAAATGAAGGAGTTCAAATCATAATTTCTCTCTTCTTATCTACAGTATTCCCAGCAAATGAAATACTGTTCTCCAAGGTTTTCAATTTTCCCTAACAACTCATAAAATATTATAAAAGAAATAACACTAATAAGTTAATTTAAAGGAAACTCTTACTTAAGGATGGTAAGGTGTTGAGCAGATTTATTAAACATTAAAGATCACAATGCATTCATAATTTAATTGATTTATAAGCATGTTTTAAGTTTCTACTATGTGCATGGACTAATGATAAATATTGATGTGCCAAAACCACTCATAAAAACTGCTGTAATGTTAAACAAATATCTAAAGATCATGGAATAATACAAAGCACAAAAGATTCCTGTCACTTCATTGGACATTGACCAGAAAAAATTTAAATTACAAAGGAAGAAATTGATTTTACTAATTTTTTAAAGACATCAGGGCATCTTACATGTTTATTCATAAGATCATTTACATATTCATTCAACAAATATATAGGCTCTGTGCTCAGTTCTCAGGAGGCAAAAGTGCATGAAGTGCATGAGCTTACTGTTTAATAGGTTAGACATCCCAGTAAACAAGAAATTAATTACATGGCACAAAATAAGCTAAAGGGAGAAAGACTTTCCCACAAATACTTTAGTGAAAAACACAAGAAGACAGAAATGATGTAAACAGAAGCCAACAGTAATGCAAACCCTCAGGGTTATTTTTGCCCCAAAGTGAGCAACACTAAAACCAGGTAGAAATCTCTAACAGGAATCCCTCGGAAATTTTCACCTGTGTTTCTTCTGTGGTTCCATGTTTTCAAAGAGCTCTTCTTTCTTTTTGTTTGGAAGACAGTCGTCCTCATTAAAATCATGAGAGGTCTCCTGCCAAGCATACCTGAGAAGTGTGTGACAAGCTTTCATTCGAATATGGGCTCTTGCATGGGAATCCCTATCATGGTTCAGAAGCAAACAGGAGTCTAAGAATTCTGTTTATACTCACGGAATCTTCTCTGAGATATAGTCTGATCATATCCTGAAGCATATTGGTGCATGTGTAAGTCATATTTCCATAATGGTGCCTAATATTGGAAATCCACATCCTACTAATACATAATTTAAATCTTTTAATATAAGGCTACAAATAAAATTCCTCAATCACATAATACACAGCATTCATCTTTGTTTTTATTCAGCTAAAATGGAGCTATCCATTATATTTCAAATATTATAGTATAATGACTATTCAATAACTTAAAAAATTCATAACGAACATGTAAAGAGACTCCTGCCAACTCCATAAGTGGGTCAGAATTCTGTCTGGAACAAAACAGCCTAGATTATTGGGTTTCATAAAGTTTACTTATTAGGTAATATTAAGGAATCTTAATTAATTTTTTTCCCTCTCAACAGAGAAATCTATAAAGACTCCGAGATTAGCACATATGTGCCAGCTTTTGACAGAGAATAATATACTAAAACACTTAGAATAAAAAGTCATAGCTTGATAACTGAGTTAGCCTTCTGTCTTCCAGTTAAGATAAAGATGTGAACAGGAGCATAGCCACAACACAAGATCTGCATATATGTGGGCACTGTTTAGGGCACATTTTGCTGCTGTGGGGTCATGACTAACATGAGGACTACTAGGCTGAAGTCAAGATAAATACACAGGCAAAGCGGCAAGCGTATTTCAGCACCCTAAATATGCCCAAGTTCTCCTGGGGGACGCTGTGATCATCAAGGGGCTTGTGATAATTTGATACAACTGCAAGCAATATTATATTACTAAAATCTTCAGGGACAATTTCCGTGTTAGCAGAGTACACCATACACTTTTCAAACGTAACAAAAATATCACAAGTGGATATGAAATTGCTGGGTAACAACTGCCTCGTTCAGAACTGCAGCTTAAGTAAAAAAAAAAAAAAATCTTGCTAACAGTTTAAAAATAGCGCCATCTTGTGTTGAAAATTAAAAACACAGCTTTCCCACCAACTGCATTTCTTTGCGGAAAACAGAAAAAAAATGTCATTCTTAGTTTTAACATATTCAGCAAGGTGTAAACAAGATTCTTTCCTCAAGTCCAGAACTCTTTGGCTTCCAAGCAAATGAAGTACAGTCAACTCAATTTTAGCCCAGCCATTTCAAAATGTATGTTGCTTTATTAACTTCATTTGTCTGTTCATTCATTCTTTCCTATAACTGGCCATTCATTAGCTAATCATTCATTCCTTTAACTAATGTTTCTTAGACATTGACTCTATGATAGGCACAGAGTTCTAAATGTTGGAGATGCAGTGATGAACAAACAGGTAAGTTTCCAGAGTTCACGGAGCTCACATTCTAGTGAGAAAAGGAGGTAAAACAGTACTGGCTAAACAAACAAGGTAAGTGCTATACGTGGATTAAGCAGGATATTATGGTAGAAATTGGCTACAGTGGGGTCTACTTTAATAATGGAATCAGAGAAGGCTCTGATGCTTGAGATGATATTGGAGTTGAGACCTGGACAATGTGAGGATCTGGAGGGAGAGTATTCCAGGCAGAGAAAATAACAAATTGAAAGGCTCTGAAGCAGGCTATGTTTGGCTCATACGAGGAACACAAAGACACTGTGCAGTGAGGGAAGGGAAAGGTGGTAGGAGACCAGGCTTAAGAGGTGGACAGAGTCTGCTGTCATTCAGTGAGGAAATGAGAAAGTCCCCTACCCCTAAGCTTCCTGCTCCAAAAGGCTTTTCCTCCGTAGAGCATCCAAGCAGAAGTTAGTGCTCCCACAGTTTGCTTCCCCTGTTGCTTCTTAACCATTTTTATCAGAAATCTTTACACAGAACCCAGCTATCAAAACGATTCCTTCTAGATTATGTTCTGGCCTCCTATTAATGGATGTGTCCCTCCTTAAATCATCCCACTTCTCAAATATGTAAAAGCTCCAAACAGACTTTTCTAAGATCGTCTGAGGAAACCTTCAAGTGACTTTCTAACGTAACATGATTTAGGATCAAGTCAGCAGAAATGGTTCAAAGAGCCAGTGAGTTAGTCTGGAAAAGAGAGAACTCAGTGGGCCGATGATAGTAACCTTTGAATATTTTAAGGACTTTTAAGTAGAAGAGGAATAGTGTACATCTATGAAACAGATCAAATCATAGTATGGAGTTGTTCTAGATAATTATTTCAACACTAGAATGGGCAGCCTTGTGGACTAGTTCCTGTTACTAGAGCATTCAAGAAGAGACTGGACTAAGCAGCTTGCCTGAAATGTGCAGGAGATTCCTGCGTTGTTTTGAGTGGACTCAGTCACTCAAAGGACCCCAGTCCCTGATGAATCTATGCATCCGAAACACGCAGTCCTTTGCTCTTAAAGATGTTCTTTTTCCTTTGTTTTCTTTTTTTTTCCTCAAGTGTGTTCTAGTAACTCAGAGGCTAGATGATACATTCTTTAGAAAAAGAATGAAAGGGAATGTTAGGAAAGTTTGTTGTCAATTCCCTAAGCCACTGAGGAAGATATCATATAGGTCAAATCATTTTTCTCTGAAAAAGGTCTTCTGGTGCCTTTGTTAGTGTCATGACTTAAAACTAGATGAAATGCTAATCAAAATGAGGAACTTTGGTTTCTAATATAAAAAAGTTAATGTTTTTATAATTGAGGATAAAACCGTTTTTTAAAAACAGTTCGTAACAATGATAAATTAATTTTCATAGTTGTTTCAATGGTAATTGACCAGCTATTTTTTGGGAGGTGAACTGGTAAGTACGTCACTACAATCATTGCAATCAATGATTAACTTCAAGAGTGAAGAATCATTCCACAGATGAGTACAGGGCAAGTCCAGGCACTTCAGGCAGAGAGAAATGACTACGTGGTGCAGAAGACTGCAACACTGCCTAAATGGAGCATGCCACATTCAGGTGACAGCTTGTGGAGGCTGAGCTGGAACTTGGAGTTTATGTGTCAGGAAGAAAAAGTGTGGAGTGGAGGTGGGCATGAAGGTATAAATGTGGGTCAACAGTCCTGAACCAGGGTCAAAAGGGCTTGGGATTCGAGACTAAATATTTTTTGTGTCTGCAGTAGGTATCCACTGAGAATTGTATAAAAAGGATTGTGGCTTAGAAAGATGATTGTCTGTAGAAAGAGGATTATGAATATAAAAACCAATCAGAAAGTTATTTTAGTGACCCAGGGTAATAACTGTATATTAACATGCGTCCAACTGGAACACACATTAAGGAAGAAGCTTACGTGTTCTGAAGTCAACATTTACGGAAATGAAACATGATGAATTCCTCAAATAAATGTCTGCAATTCTAAAATTCTAGTCTTTTAAAAATAATTACATTTTAACAAAATTACTGAATGTAGATCGTGTTGTGGTTGAACACTGAAGCTGCGGCTCTCTTTTATTGCCAGAAAATAATTAAATACTAGTTCTTAACCTGACATTTATTTCACAAAGCTGGTGTGTGCTCCCTACATGGGCTCTGTGCTGCCATGAGCTAATGAGCTGAGTTCAAATAGGAACCAGGGGGCTTTTCTAGACACATTGATTACTTACAGAGTTTCACTGGAAGCATTTTCCATTGTTAAAGCATGTTTTGCATTTGTTTTTCTTTTAGTTCTATAATTTGCTTCTCTTCTCCAAAAATTGCTACAGATTTACGCACAGCAAGCTTGGCTCCAGACACAATGTCATTTTGGATTTCTAAAACAAAAGCTGAGCAGAAATGCACAAATTGCAAGAACATATTAGTTATGATCACAGAACACTAGGAATTTGAAAACATGTTAAAATGAAAATGCAGAACACTGCCAACTATTTGGTCTAAGAGAATGCGTTCTAAGTTTAATTGATAGTTAATTGTTTTTTAATTGGATTTAATTTAATTTAATTTTTGTAGATTCTTTCCTCTCAAAATACTATCAGTCAAAAGTACTAAAAATAGGGGGTAACATCCAAAATATATAAAGAGTAATAAAATTCAATAACAAAAATCAACAATCAGATTAAAAAATGGGCAGAAGACCTGAAAAAACATTTTGCCAAAGAAGATACATTGGTGGCCAAGAGGCATATGAAAAGATGCTCAACATAACTAACCATCAGAAAAATGCATATCAAAACCACAATTACCTCACACGTATCAGAATGGCTATCAACCAAAAGACAAGAAAATATAAGTGTTGACAAGGATGTGGAGAAAAGGGAACCCTTGTGCACTGTTGGTGGAAATGTAGATTGGTGCAGCCACTCTGGAAAACAGTATGGAGGTTCCCTAGAAATTAAAAATACAACTACCATATGATCCAGCAATTCCACTTCTAGGTATTTTTTTGACAATAATTACCTCACACGTATCAGAATGGCTATCAACCAAAAGACAAGAAAATATAAGTGTTGACAAGGATGTGGAGAAAAGGGAACCCTTGTGCACTGTTGGTGGAAATGTAGATTGGTGCAGCCACTCTGGAAAACAGTATGGAGGTTCCCTAGAAATTAAAAATACAACTACCATATGATCCAGCAATTCCACTTCTAGGTATTTTTTTGACAAAAACAAGAAAACTCTCATTCAAAAAGACATATGCATCCCCATGTTCACTGCAGAATTATTCAGAAAATCAAGATTCAAAAGAAACCTAAGTGTCCACTGACAGATGAATGGATAAAGCAGATGTGATATGTGTGTGTGTATATAATATACATATATATAACAAATACATATATTTATAATATATATTATATATATAATATGTAAACAATGTAAATACTATACAGTTATTTTGAACAGTGAATTAGAATTATATTTTTTGTAATGAAATAATGCCTAAGAAATATTACATGAATAAGTCAAACTGCGTGTATAATATGCTAATCCAAGAATATACAAAGACAAATGGTTGTTTGTATATAACAGACCATACATTCTTGCTTTATTATTGTGAATGTATAGATATATCTAGAAGACAAATATGAAAT